TTAATTATCTGCTAAAATTAAAGTGCAATAACCTTTTAAATCAACGTTCTGAAGATAATAGGTTTTGTCTGATTTAGAAATATAAATGTGTATTATGAGTCAATACTAGCTCGGTAAGAGTTTGTCACAGTAACGAGAAACAGTTAATATATTTAACTTGATATAAAGGAAATGAATAAGTCTCAAGTTATTTAAGTTTAATCAAATAGTTTTATTATTTATATTAAAAAAAAGATTTATAAATGAGGGATAGAAGAAAACTATTATGGACTGTTATTAATAATTTGTAATATTTACGTATTAAACTCAAAGAGGTTTGCAGGATTAAACTTTATGTTTATCATTTGATAAACCATTAAATTTTTATCAGAGCACATTGTTCAGTAATCATAAGAACTTTTTAATAATATAAATTGTCATCTAAATATTCAATAATAAATATGTACAATTGTTTAATCTGTAAGCCGTATCTAATTCCCAAAAATGTTTTCAATTTAAAACATTTATTTCCTAAAGGATTTTAAAGTTAAAATGTCTCTTGTCATCGTCGTTAAGGCGATGATACATCACATTGTACAAAACTGTCTCCCTCTTAACTCACTAGTATATTTATTCACCTTTAGATGTTAAAGCATTTTATAGGGCAATAAAATAAAATTCCTTACACTAAATGCGGGACGGAAGTCGCTCTATATTTAGTTAATATAATATAACCGGTGACGTTGGCGAGCAATAATTAATTATATTTATGTATTCGATTGAATGGAACTGACGCAAAAGATTATCAAAACTATATGTACATATGAAACAAAAGACAATCGCAACTTATAAACCAATCTATTTTTTGAAGCTATTTCTGAAGTACATTCATGTTTATTAAAAATAAAACGTATGATTAGGAAGCACCTGTTGTATGAAAGTGTTTGCATAAATACAGATTCCTACGACGTGAAACGTATGTGACGAATGCTCTCTTGGAATAGACACGCTGACGTTGTAAATGCAGACTCTGAACTGACAATACTTGTTTATTATGTAGCTTTCCTTAGTAATTACTATTCTATTTGTATGCTAATTTGGTTCATGTATGCATGATTTGACTTAAAATTATTGTGGTAGTAACAGTGCGTCGTGTATAGATATATTGAAGTTGAAAACTAGCATTAGTTCAAAATAAACACTGCACAAGTCAAGAGAATTTCATACCTAAAATTAACGATAAAAAATCTGGTTTTATAAGAACTTTTAATATCTCCTAGAAACAAAAGATTGTCGTATAAATGAAAACACGATTATAGATTCTCGGTAAGTGTAATAAAGTTTATATTTGTATATTATGAGTAATCTCAGTTCGAGCGTCAATTAACATTTATGTTGTGTATAACAAGGTTAATAAGTGAACATTTTATTGCATTATGTACGTCGTGATCTGGATCCTTTAAAAATAAATAAATATCCGGGATAAGGGGACGAGCCTGCTGGGATAACACGCAATCTGAGGCGCTGTAGATATTATGTGGAACGTAATTGACCTAGCTTATATTAATTGTATGTACAATACGAAGTTAGTTTAAGTTATTATTTAGCGTTCAATATATATAGTATCCAGGGAACAAAAATTAATATAATTATTACATAACTGTGTTCATTTGTATAAATCAAATTATATTATTATTTTGTGTACAATGTGTATAGATGAAAGTAATATTTATAAAGATAATATAATGTAGATTTGCATTGTGACTAAGAACATAAGCTATATATAATCTTGAGTTATATGTATAACTCGCGAACATGTATAACAGCGAAATATACATATATATATATATAATATATGTATATTTCGCTGTTTTTATATTTTGACATATCAAGTATAATTCTTCCATAATTTATATAAGCTAACTATCCTTTATTTTGAGGATTGCTCGAAACGGATAGAAGGATAAACATTTTGCTCAAACAAATATATTTCCATATTGAAATATATTTCCACTACAACCAATATAATATATATATATGTACGTATGTTATAGGAATTAATTGTTTTATTATGATAAACACATATATATATGTTGAAACTATAGGAAAAAAGTAAAAATAAAATAGAGTTATTGATGTTTGCATTAAAAATAAAAATTAAAAATATCCACCGAATAATAATTTTATTAATATGTAGAAATACATACGTAGTAATTTTCAACTTTATGCCATTTACAATACGTGTTGGTTTTCTATAACAAAAATAAAAATGTTATTAATCGTCATGTGAATGAATATTGAAAAATATTTAAAAAATAAATATTTATTAAATACGTATTCGTTAAGGAATTTCATAAACAAACATTTTATATATTTATCTACATAAATATATGTATATATATAATCTTTATTGTGTTGTTTCAATAAAAAAATACAACTTCATTAAGATATTTGTATAACTTGTGTTAATCTATGAGTTATTTGATTACAAATAATTTAAACGATAAATTTCCTTAAAGCCAGCAATGAATTATTTAAAGCTCAACTCTAATCCTAAAGTAAATTCTTAATCTCATTGTCATCGTCTAGAGCTGTGTGTATAAAAGACTTCGCTTAAGGATTATAGATAGATAGATAGGTTTATAGATAGAAAGATAGATAGAAAATAATACTATATACTTAACTGTTCAACACTTTAAGTAACAGAAACTCAGAATGTCTATGGAGAAAATAGTTAAGTAAGAAGAGCCAAATAATAGCTCTTATAGGACATATTGTGAATGGTATTTCGTCTAGATGTATTTAAAATGTATGTATATATATTTTTAATACATCTAGTCATATACTATAGACACACATACACACATATAAAAAAACTCGTATCAATATAAAATAAAACAACTTCACTTCACGAGTAAGCTACTCGTGAAGTGAAGTTGTTGAAGTTCACTATGAAGTCTGTCTTTATAAGAGCTGAAGACTATGAAACGTATCATATCTCATATCTTTGTCAAGTTTCTAAAGGAACGTCATACTTTACGTCGAACAACATTCATAGGTCTACGTAGACGTTGGGTATGAAGCTACGAATATGTAGCGGTTACGAACTTGCTACGAGACGTAGCATGCTACGCAGGACCTTGTGTATCTATGAAATGTTTTTCATACTAAGTTTATATATAAATTACTATGAAAGATCCTAAACATTTTTGTGTGTATGTGTTATTAGTAAGTACGTAAATGACTTAGTAAAATTATCCATAAACCTAAGAAAATAAATTAAAATCAATATTAAATATATATGTATATATTTTGAATCGGAATTTTAGACATACATCACAACAAACAGACTACTAAAGCAACAAGAATTCATAAAACGATTCATTTTATTACATGCCGTAAACATATTTGTTATGAGAAATTATTGAGTGTTAAATATTACTCGGTACGATACAAATATAAGCTTTCTAAAGAAAATCTATGATGAAATATGATTTTTATATTAAAAATAAAATAAATATCACCAATAGTACATAATACATAGATTTTGAAATAACTAATTGGTTATAAGTCTTTCATTAAATATGAGCACAGATTGAATAAAGCTACATAACAGTTAACTCAAAATAAGATTCCGTCTTATTTTTTTGCTATAATTTGAACCTTATTTAAATACACATAGAATATCATATAGCCGATTTCATTGACGTATGTATACATATACGTATACATATATATAAATATATGTATGTGTATATCTTGAATTAAAACTATATTAAGTGTAACGGAAAGTGACACTAGCTATAGTAAACAACATTTCCAATATGGCGGTGTAATTAAAATGGCGTAACAGTTGAGTGAGATGAGTTTCCCGGAAGAATTGTGTGACTACATACACATTGATGTGACCTTCGTACAATAACTATTGAAATACTAGGAATACTTATAAAATGATAATAATTCTCGGGATTTGCTACAATGATATATATACACGTATATATATGCATGTATGTGGACCTCACGCACACATAGATAAAACCATAGCAGCTGACCCGGCATATGTTGTTTTGCTATATAAAAAATAGGAGTTGATGATAAAAAAGTAAAAATTTTGGATTGTATGTATTTTTATGGTACATTATAAAAAAATAAAAACAAAATATTTCGTCCGAAAATAAAAAAAAATAAGGATGACCAAATCTTATGACTTAAGTGTATAAAAAATAGATGTTGTCCGATTCTCAGACCTACTCAATAAAGCCACAAAATATCATCAAAATCGGTGCAGCCGTTTCGGAAGAGTTCTCTGTCTAACACCGCTTCACGAGAATTTTATATGTATATAATAACTATAAATATGTTAGGGAATCTTGTTATTACAATTATATGGATGGTTTGAATGAAATTGTGTTTCTTTTGAATTTCATAACTTCTAAATTATTTATACAAATACAATAGACAAATTCTATATAACTATAAATCTACATAAACTTTACGAGTAATATTTAATTGAACATTTTATTTATTAGTCGATTCCCGAACTCAAACATAATCGTTATTTCAATCGACAACTTGAAGATGAATACTGTATTAAGAGAAACATATGAGTATTATAATTCAGTGCGAATTTAGTTCCAAGTGTAAATACTATCCTTGAACCAATTTCTTTCAATCATAACTGATCCTTGTTCATATATACGAATTATACTATTATTATATATTATATACATAACTAAGATTGAAATAATTATATGTTATCTGGTTTTTATTAATTTATTTCTTTATATTGCTATTTTATAACTGTATATTATTTTCTATAACACAAAGTTACCGAACCATACATGGTGTGACGAAAAATTAGGACGAATAATTTGTAATTCGGTCATTGGGATCAGATTGAAGGAATCTGGTCAGCTGTCTCATGATGCATGTCGGAGATCAACGCTCCCATTGTGTTCGTGAGGATAGTTACAGAAAATTAGGCTCCTTTGGTATTTTTGTATGAACACCAAGAACGGCAGATGCTGTACGTATATATAGCACGCCTGTACTGCGCCGAGCTCAGTCGCTCGCCGGAGCTCGTTCTAGCTACGTGTCCGTGACGACCGTATAACAATAAAATAATCAACAGTTATATAGAAACTGCTTTGTAAAACCTTTTTAGAATATAGTGTTTAAACTATCGTGTTGAGTGTCAAGACTTTGTGTTACTGTTTTGTACAGCATCTGGAAACTCCGTGCATTTTTTTTTCACGAACAGCACAGGTGCGTTTTAGTTTTGCATTCATACTTGCAATATCATAGAATTAAATCATAAATATTTTTCATACGACATATTTGTATTTTACATTACAATTCCTCACATATTTTACATAGAATACAGTTTTTTTTTTTATAAATCTCCATCATAAAATGAAGACAAAGATTTAGTTAACACAGCTTGTATATATCATATATTATTTATTTATCAATACTATGTATATTAATAATATTTATTGTTATCACCCACATGCTGGCCGTGACATAATATTCTGTCAAATAAACAAACTCTTTGATAATTTCCAACTGTTTACTTATAATCTGTACTGTTATTTCAAATAGCAATCATTCCACGTTTCATACTATTAAACATTTAATAAAAAAATTCTATATAGACAATAAAAATCATTTAGTATTTAAGTAGGACGCAAGTATTAAACAAAATCAAATGAAAATAGAACCTTTTTTGATCTTTTTTTTTGTTTTATTTAGAATAATAAAGAATAAGGAATAGCATTAATTAGTTATTATATTTAATGCTAGATATTCTGATTAAGTTTTAAGCGCATTAAATAAAAGAGAAAAGTTAAGAGATGAAGACAAAGAAATCAATGTACTAAAATCATTAGAAATTGGTCTAAAAGTTATGTATTTGATTAAAAAAATTAAGATACGTTACATATGTAAATAAAAGAAAAGAAAATGTAATGAATAATTTATATATTTTAATTATAATAACTATCCCATGAGAATCAAATGAAAAAAAATTGATATTAAAATTACAATTGAATTGTTACAATATACATATATAAAAAATCACTTTATTTGCAAATAAAAAAATTGATTTTATTAACACTAAAGCAGCTTTATATCATTTATTATACCAATTTATATCTCATTAATACAGTCTTAATCGAACTCGATTATTTTTATATTCATAGGACAAACGTAGCCACGCGTGAAGAGTATTTCAGTGGCCGATGTGATTAATAATTTTCCACACCGCGTGTTGATAACCAGAACTTTTCCACTAGTAAATAAAAAAAATATTCGGCGCCATTTTATCTTGTTTATAAAACCATATATACAAACAATAATAATTAATAAAATTTTGGTTATGTACAGCGCGTTTAAAATTAAAATACTTTTTCAAACTAATTTTTCGATACTAGCAACATTGCATTTTTATGAACTAGCTGTCGAATCTCAGAATATGAATTGAAATTCTGCTTCCGATAAAATTAAATTAGCGTCTATTAAAAAACTTATCCGTAAACATTTTCTCTAATACATTTGACGTCTTAATTGATTTTTAGATTGGATTCCGTTTTTTATACTTACGTAAAAGTTAACGATTGTTTTGTTATTCAATGTTTATGGTTTTACAGTTTGGCTGCAACGTGTCTGAAAAAACTTACGTAACTATTTAAATGAACGCTTTTTGTTTTCGCTATTAAAGCTGATCGACCTATATATAAATAAGAAAGCAAAGTTCGATATCTCTATCAACGGGTTAAAGAGATGATCATAATTTGTTGTTGAAATAACAAAGTTTTAAGGAAAATACGTAGTTGGAATTGGAAATATTTCGATAAACAACCATCAAACGCAATATGTAAAAGACATTATTCCTTCATATATATTTTAATGTTTAATTTTTTTAAATGAGGTCATACAATTTTGCATAACATTTATATGAGCACATCAAACGTAACTTCATTTCACTGTCCATGTAACATTTCGTTTATAATAAACGTAGGTAGACATACTAAAAATTAACATTTAAACCAGGTCGAACAATCAAATCACTAGACAGATGTGGATCAACAAATGTATTTTATAAAGATGTTTGAAAATTAATACAATAATGTGTGAAACTGAATCGTGAATCACGCCTGTATCATAAATAGTAAACTTTACGCGCTTTCGTTTGTGTGTGTGCGTGTATGTATGTGTGTGTGTGTTTGAGAATGAAAATTAATGTATCACGAATACATCAAATCGATTTAAATGACTTTTTCATAGAGATTACTTATATCGCTAATTACGATCAAATTCGTGGAAGAGACTAGTTAAGCTTTTAAGCTGTAATCAATAATTTTATTTTTATAAGAAATAAGTATGATAAGAGTCTTGAATATTGTTTTCAATGAATTACTTTTAAATAAACATTGTTTCAAGTTATTGTTTGTTCATTAGTTAAGTTGTTTAGTAAAAATTTAACATACTTTATAATTAGGATCTTCCTTCTTTGTTAACAAGTTTAACGTTTAATATATATACATATAAATGTAATATATTAAATGATATTTCAATTAAATAGGCGGTGAAAAGAAACATTAAACATATAAAAAAGAGTTACAACTTAGTATAGAATATAAAAATCAAAATCAAATATATAAAATTCTTTTGCTATGGGTAAATGGTTTCCGACACAAATGATGTCAACTTTACAACATCCATGCATAACCCATATACCCATTCAACATAAAAAATACATTCGTGAATCTACATAAATAAATCTTATTTCTTTATACCCAATAAAAATCTAATGACCATTACTAACTATAGATACATGATTTATGTACCTGTAAAAGCTTTAAATTGACAGAAGTAGATGTTTCATGGGAAACACATGACCGGACGTATGCTGACCAATAAACATGGCGTATTTCAAATGCATTTGCGTTATCCATTACAATAGCTAAATATATTCATAATCTTCAACAGTTTCAATGTTAATGCACAATAAAATTACGTAGGAACAATTATAATGAATTATATTATAATTTTCTTTAACGGGTTCAACTCGTACAAATAAGTATAATACGGACATATAATTGATGTTTATAATACATCTGAATCCTCATTAGCCTAATTTCGTATAGTACAACCTCACTTCAGTCAGCCAAAAATATTGTGCAATTATCATAACTGGGTTAAATCTTATTGTTAGAATAAATGGGTCAAGTTTACAAGCATCGTTATTGAATCATGATTTACGTATAGTAATATGAGGTTTCTAAAAATTTTCTCAAGTTCAGCTAGCCCTTTTATCTCGTATAATGTAAACATATATCGGATTCAGCCCTTGAATTTGATGTTTTTATTTCTATTTTACACACCATCGAACGTTAGTTAGAGCCACATAATGAACACACGTGAACAGCGAGTATTGGATATTGAAATATAAATATTTACGATATAAACAAACCTTTAAACGACCCAGCATTTTTAAATAGAATGATTTAATATTAACAAACCTTCAACCTTTTTAGTACAGGTAAGTTAAAATTTTTGAGTCAAAAAAAACCTTATACAATCGCAACGTTGAGAAACAATTTTGTTAACTAATTAAATATTATAAACCTAATAATATGTTATGATAAAACTTCCAAGTAATTTAATATTAAGGTAAGTGAGAACGAGTATGAGAAACAACGTATGCTCTTAATTATTTAAAATGTAATGTAGAGGTCGTTCACCCCGCACTAAATATAAACGTTAATGTTCCTCGTTGATCGCTTACTGTCTGACGATTCACTTATTGACACTAATTACTCTAAATCAATGTAAGCATTAATATCGGGGTCAGAAAAGCGAAGTGCCAAATAAATCAAATCGGCCGCTATGTAGGTAACACAGATCTATATAATTGTTGTTTACCCTCAAACAACAAGGAAAAATATAACTCGCTACTGAACAAACACTTTTGTTATTCATGATAAAGATTTTTGAGATATTAAATATCGGAATGCGTTTAATATATAAAGAAAACTTTTATAAAAAAATAATCCTGAATTATAAATAAAGCAAAGAAGATAGTAAACCCACACATAAAAAGGTTTTGAATATAAAAATCTACGTAGTAATTCGAATAAACCGCACAAAGAAAATACTTCGATTGTTTTTGAGCTTTGAGCTGCATTTTTTGGAAAAACCTAAGTAAACAATAAACCACTAAACGAACTAAATAGTCGTATAATAGAATTTTATAATATAGTTTACTAGGTTTATTGATAATACTGTTCTCTTGAACACAGAAAATATCTAATCGTTTTGAACACTTCATATAATTTTATGTCAAACATAAAATATTATGCTCTCTTGTGTTCTGAAAACTATATCACATAAATATTATTACAAAATAATAAAACTTGTACGAGGTTATGATTCATATGAAACATTATTACGTTATTTTGACAACTTCTTTTATTTTACAACAATTTTCACACAACGAGATCTAAGATTTTCGCGAGTATTCATTTAAATGAAACTGATATTTTTCGGATTTACTACATACGCGATTTTTATTTTTGATTAAAAACTACATACTCCCGACGTTTCGTTTATTTTATATCCGAAAAATATTAGTTTCATTTAATCATTTAATTTTCATACATATCATATGATTTTTTCTCTGACGTATTAAAAGCATATTGATTAAGGCTCAATCGTTTCCTCGTCTCACGTCCTTCGTTTCGGTTTCCCAATGTCAACGGTGTAACTGCTATGTAATCGGCTTCGCAGCCTTGAATTAGCCTTGGTCCTTGAAAATATGGGAAATGAAGACTTAACGCGAAGGTCTCGGCCTCTCTGATAAGGCACTCCGATTAAGGTCTGTAGGGGAAATCGATACGTAAACAAGAGTAGAGCTTATGATATAATGTATTCAAGGTCGATTATTTAATAACACATTAATATTCATTAACCGATATCTATTAATACGAAAATTATACTCAAAGTAACACTAATATAAGTAAATAGACGTATAACAAAATAATACGTTCTTTTTAAGGTAAGTTTAATTTGTAACTGTATTCTGCGGACGTAATTGGTGATAATTATTAGGTGATAGTGTATTTTATCGCTAATTGCGAGTCATTATGTTCTAAATCTAACACCAGTTCAGTAATCTTTTCGTAATCACTATCACAAATTACGTATTTAGTGAAAAGTATTCTCAAAAATCCACACTATTCTGTACTATTTCAAGTTCAATTTTGTGTATTTCTCCCACGCAGTCGCCATTTTGTAGAATTGATCGATGATGCAGCAGCCCTAGGCTAAAAATTGCACCTACGCCCGCCTCCGTACTATGCATCTCTCAAAGACTTTCATCGCCTACTCTTATTATATTAAAAATCTATGACATTTGAACAGAATATTAAAATAATATTTAAGAATTAAACTTTCGTCGGATTATAAATAGAGTTATTAATTTTTATTGCATTTAATGAGAGAGTTGTAGAAGAAATCTGGATAATATCTGATAACTGAATAATATTTAAGACAATATATACATATATAATGTATATTTAATGAGGTTTGTCTACCTATAATTATATAAAAATCAATGATCAGTACTAAAAGCCTTTGATAAACATTCTTTAAGTTCATTACCAAGGCGTAACCTAGTACAAGGTTATCGATTCTCTCTGTATGAAACACAACACTGTGAAGCCATCACAAACATGAATGCATGATGCTCACGTGTCCGATATATCTGTTTTGTATGCTTTATATAACAAATATGTAACGTGATTTGCTTTGTTTTCTAGTTAACAATAGTCAATATATCACGTGATTTATAACTTTGTTAAACAATATATTAAGATCCGGTCTTTGATTTTAAAATGTATATAGTATATTAGTATTTCAAATTAACTCTCAATGAAACAAAACTAATTATTTATTGTTAGAAATTAGCTATTATTAGAAATAAAAAAGGTATCGGCATTCAACCATAATTGATAGTTATGACCACAACAAAGACGCAACAATGATTTGTGCATCCTCTTGCGTTTTTTTTTTCATCTGCTGCGTAAAAGCTGTATTTTGGCAGCGGCGACCTTTTTTTTAAGACAGCACCGAAATTATTATTCCTTGGCGCCAAACATAAATTAGTTGTGACACCGTCGCGACGTCTTCACTACCGGTGGACAGAATGCTGTAGAGCCAAGAAAGATGTTTTCTTTTGTATCATAAAGCGAATTTCTTAAAACAAATACATTAATTGCTTATTCCCAGAAACTAATCCAGCCATTAAAGGGATTCCGCGATTAAGAATGCATATAATTACTTTTTAATTTGCATCGGCACACATCTAAAGATCTTCTTGCTTTGTAAAAAAAATATATATCATTTAAAATATATAGTTGAAAATAAATTTTATTTTATTATTCTATAATAATTTAAACGTTTCCGCTATAAAATCTAGAATATAATTTAGAATCTTAAGTATTTGATAACTGCGTTGAAGTGTTGATTGAAACATACCAGATGCTTATCTAAATTCTTTTTCAAATAATATATTGGAATAAAAACATTTTTTATTGTTTTATTTTCAATAACGTTCGAAATTTGAAATTTGCTTAATTTTGTTTATTATCGGTTGACAAATATGATTTCTTACACTTTTTAATATCGATTTAATTTTGGGAAGCTGGCAACATTGTTTTATCTTCTTCATATTTTAATAAATAATATACTCTGAAAATGTTTTAAATTAATTGAAGATGTACAAAAATTTAAATAATTATTGTATTATAGATAGATTTATTCATGAATGTAATAAGTTTTGTAAAATTCTGTATTAATATTTTTTATTGAAACACCTTTATCAAATCAACTTCATGTTATAATGGTTCTGTCACTTACACGTCACTCTAGGGTTATTCCACTGTTCAGTTGAGGTTCGAGACCGAAATACATTATGTTTATAAAAAAAAACACGCGAAAATATTTCAGTATTGCGACTATTTCAAACTTTATATTTACATCTTAATATATCGTTTACTTTTTAGTTAAAATATAACACAGTTAATAAAAGTCAAAGTAGAATATTAAACAATTAACTAATCAAAAGTAAAGTTTAATTTATATCAAAGCTTATTTTTTTTTTTAATAAAAACTAAATGCATCCGCTCCAGCTATTTTGATTCACGGGCGTAATGCTCAAACGTCATCTCATAGCACAATAACACTCATGAATGGAAAGACAAGTTTGTCAACGATAAAAGATTGGAATATTGGATATGATTCAAGAAAATATTATTTAAAAAAATATAAAACTTACGATTGATTCATTTCGAAATAATCCATATCTGCTTTAGCAAAATTACTGAAAATTTGAATATAACCAATAATAAGCAATACGTAAATAGTTTTAATGTATGTTTTATTTGTTTTTAGGCGTTATTAAATCAGTTATGAGGGACGAACGCGCCTCTCCGCCGCGCGTGCGCATAGCAGTCATTGGCAGTTCGAGAGTTGGGAAGTCTGGTGAGTTACTATTTTTCGACCATCAACATTCCTTTATAAATATAGCTTGATTGATACTAATGTCACTGAGTTATGTATAAATTAAATTTATAATCTTTTATATAAATTTAAAATATTTAATGATGATAAATCATTGTACGATATCAAATTTTTATGTTCCTATATATTCAGAGTAAAAAATATTTCTCCATGCGATCATAACTATTCAAAAAGTGTATAGATAACATCTTCTGACCTAAATGCTTGCGTGTAACATAATTTAAAAGGTTTATAGACTGAAAATATTTTCGACCTACTTTATGTTTATCATATTTCAGTAATTTTATTCTTTGCTCTTATTTTTTATATAAACAAAGCTAAAGTAACTGTAATCCTAAATGACATCTTTGAAACTGATATATATAAATCCCTGATGTTTGTGTGAGTCATGAAATCATTACATCTTTAACGCGACGTACAAGGATTCTTCCGACATTTTTAACAGACATTAATTGTATGTTCGATGAAATACGTTAGTTATTATTTAAGAATTATTAGTTAAAGAATCGTTAAATTCTTATGAGTAGTAAAAAATTTTATAAAACAATATTATATATTTTTTTTACAATCCAATTAAATTTATATTAGCTTGGTCGAGTCTTATTCTTCTTTTTTTTACTGAAAATAAACATCTATATATAACTATTACAATAAAAAAGTTTTTATATGAATGTAAAAATTAGTAAAATAATCCATTAACCAGTAATAAATATTTATTCAAGCAAACAAAATCGTAAACAAATTGATTTAAAATCAAATTTATAGTCAGTAGTATTTTTGTATATATAATCCACTTCAAGTGAGTGTATTTTGAATTGTCTATTGCAGCTCTCATCGTCAGATATCTAACAAGGAGGTACATCGGGGAATACCACTCAAACACAGGTCGGTATCTATGCCAAGAACTTTAAATGAAACTAAAATAGATTTATATGAATATTTTATTAAATATATCCATTTTACAGATCTCCTGTACAGACAGACGGTACCCATAAACGGAACTCCCGTTGAATTAGAGGTCATTGACGTCTCTGGATCCAATCTAGATACATTTCCAACTGAACAGGTATTTTTTTTGTTACTTCCTACACATAATTAATATTAGCTTCTATACAATGAGTCTTTGACTTAGAGAATAGAAAAAACAACTGTTATATGTATCTGAATGTAGGATGTGTATCCTACGTAAAATGTAAGTAAATGCCATACTCTGTAGGACCTTGTTTGAACAGTGATATTTACCTTCGTCAGAACCAACGCGAAATGACCTTTGGCGCCCTCTAACAATAGCAATCACTGAATCAAAAGATTAAGGATTGTTCAGTTTTCTTCATAACAATAATATCTCGAGGGCGTTTGTTATAAGTACATATACGAAGTCGTCTTCTGTCGTATAAACAACGTTTAAAATTTTATATTCTGAACTTTTACGATGTTATAATATTTAACTTCCGTGTCAGTGTGCCACGTATATTTCCAAATGTCAATTTCGAAACTAACCCGACTTGTGCTCATGGAATTATATGGTCGTTGCCACAAACATTCATAGATTATCCGATTCTGTGCCCGTTTAATGTTGTGGCAAAATGGGTTAATCGTTATGAATTTAATACGAAATGTACGAGACTTGTTCCAGTGACCCGAGCTCGCACGCGCCTCCAGTATTGCCTGACTCACTCTGTTTACAGTACTAAATAATGCACAAACGCTTACCTTTGTCGTGTTTTATGTTCGTCTGAAATTAAATTGAAAGGACTCGTTATAAACAACAGAAATATTTATATGAAAAATATGTAAATGAATGGAACGTTTCGTAATATATACACTATATATTAAATGTAACAGCTTTCTATTATACATATATTGGTAAAAAGCAAAATTAGTTTTATTTTTTTAGGTTAGAAAGATTTTTCAAATGTGATTATTGGAATATTTGTTTCAAAATGACATTTAACTCGAAATCTGAAACTGTAATTTGTAGAATCGTATTTTATAGAATTTAAAGTTAAATATTTTCCGTAGGAATATAAATGTAGACTATCTTGACATATAACATACGACTGTTTATGTTTGTTTTAGATTCAATGGGCCGACGCCTGCCTGTTGGTATACTCGGTGACAGACAGGAGCAGTTTTGAATACGCCACAGATATCTTGAATACATTAAAGAAGACACCATTGAATGGAAGTCCAGCTCATGGGGCAGCCGCAACTACTTGCATGCCCCTAGCTCTATTAGGAAATAAAACTGACCTAGACCACTTGAGACAGGTAAGATAATTTCCATTTTAAGCCTATATACAAGTTTAATTAAGACAAGATAGTAATGTGATATAACATTTTCTAGAAGTCTCTTATGTAAAAATCTTCAGCTTATCTAACCTTGACTTTAACAACAGAAGTTGGCATCACAAAAACGAGCAATGCTATTTATAGAAAATAAATTACGCCGTTATGCAATAAATGAAGGCTTCTTCGATAAACTCCTATTACCGCTCTGGATCCAATTATAAAATAGTTCGATTGAAATTCTATTTGTTTATTTCATTGAACCACATTAGCGTGGTATAAAACATAATAAGCTGTGGCCGGTGTTTGTAAACCAACCTTGAAAATCGTACATTTTCTAGTGTGTTGTGTAACCGCGTGGGAACACTTGCACAAACATGACATTTATTACTCAAGACCTACGCAACGGTAAATGTTATTGTTTTTTGTTAATCAAACATCAACTTTGATATAACATGCTTGAAATAATCAAGTTTATTAAATTGTAATGTTATTTTCTAGACTCTTATAGTCGATAAAGTTGTCTGTATAGTTCAAAGTTGTCTTGGAATCGATAGGAAGTCGAACTAAGCTGTAAGACTCCATTTATAATAGAAATGAATTGTGCATTATTAAATATTACTTTCTTCTTCAATCTACAGTTACGATAGATGCAAAATTACGTTTCAATTCAATTCTATTTGTCGTACGAAATGTAGATTTCCGTAATTTATATTTATTATAGAAATAAAATGCGTAGATTTGTAAAGAAATTCTTATGTGACGTGTATAAAATGTTATGTGGTATTGTAAAACTCATGATACGGATAGAAATATCAAGTCGGGTACAGAAGCGTGGGTAGATCTTTTATTTACGACCATAACAAAAATAGTATCGCCTGGATCACATAGCTCTCTGTGCTATTATTATTTTTTTCCTTTTTTTCATTAAATTAATCTACTCATGTATGATGTAATCCTAGACATAGTAGGGTGAAGGTATTATAAGATATGTATCGATGAAAGAACGATTACGAAAACGAATTTAGTTAGTTTTTCAGTTTGTTTTAATTGATGGACCAAAAGCTTTTTGCCCGTTTGTTAGTAAAAAAAAAAACAAAGGAAAAAAGAAGTTCTAAATTTCTTTCCTTTGTTTCTAGGTACCAACAAAGGAGGGCCAGGCTATGAGTACACTCCACGGGGCCTCCTTCAGCGAGGCAAGTGTCGCTGACAACTCTGGCGACCTCTATCGCTGCGTGGATAAACTACTCACCGAAGTAAGAATGCCGCAACGTACGAGGAAATTCTCAGTAACCAAAATGCTCGGATCACTAATAGGTATTATTTACTTAATATTTAAATTTCTTTGCATACAATGTTAAACTATACTTAGGCTACGAATGTTATTACTAATTAAACTGTTTATGCTGAATAACATCCTACCAATAACACAAAGGAAATGGTAGAGAATAGATATTTTATGTGAATAACTCTGGTAGACATTGTATTTCAGATATTCTTACGCAATTTAATATATAACTGCACAGTTTTTTACGTATATCTTATTTGCAACAAAGCATATTAAAATTGTTACCAGATAGTCCTATTTCAAGTCTGAAGACGATATACTCCAAGTAATAAATTCTGAAATGAGAGATTATAAATGTTTGTTGCTATTTCAGGTGGTACCACCAATAACAACCAAGCAACCCGTGGTTCAATGGTAGCTTGCCCGCGCGTCCCAGCTCCGTCCCGGCCACCGCTAGCGGCTGCTGCTCCATGACAAACACCTGAACCCTCGCCCCGGGAGCGCTGATGTCTTACCGGAGCAGTGTGCCTAGTCTGCCTGCCTGTACCCACGAGATTCACATCCCCCACAATATTTACCACCTAATACATTTCCTCTATCGGGTATTATGGCTGATACAGGTGAATTTCCACCAATCACAGGACATTATTCACCACGTAATATGATATACATTTTCTCTATTGGGTATTATGGCTGACACAGGTGAATTTCCACCAATCACAGGACATTGCTTTAAATGAATCTTAGTGTAAGTGTTTAGATGTATATGTTATGGATGATTATGTTGACAATAATCACGGATCAGTGAACAAATGGATACCTGATGAAATAACATCGTGCCAAAGATTTAGATATATTACTTATTTAAATATTATGATAATTGTATTTTGATAGAATGAAATGTGTAAATAATGCGCTGTTAAGATATGTGCCTGTAGATAGAATTGAATGTTTTATATGTTATAATATTTGAAAGATATTTATAACTGTCAAAAATTATATAATCTTTTTTGACGTACGAGTCTCTCTAATCTTTGTTAAGAATTTACATATTATAATGTTAAAGATTTGAGATACATATAACAGTTTAGAAGTTAACCAAATGTTAAAATAATCAGATATAGTTTAAATTTCAGCTTTATGTGACCAGATGTAAATACGTTTTAAATTTAATAGAAATATAATTTGTGTCTATGGTTAGTTTGAAGAAGGAAAGAGAAAGCCCGGGAAAGTGTAATTTTACATCGCCGCAGTATTTATTAAGTATTATTATTGTTAAAAAATCAACCAAAAATAATCCCGCCGTAAGAATTCGAGTCAATACAATTTCGTACAAATTCTTATAAATCTTTCACATACTATAAATACAAAGAAATATTATTATTATAAATTCACAGTGTTGTTCTTCTACATTTTAATTGAAGCTTTAGGTTCGTTGTAAACATCGATTGTGCCATATGTATTTTGTTTAGTATGAAATTTTATTTTAAGAATATTTAGTCACCGTCTAGTCATTAGGTATAGGCTGTGAAAAGACATTGTAGAATGAATTGTTATGGTTGAAGCAAGTCCTTTATCTATATATTATTTCCTGTATTTATGAAATTACCTACTGTTTTATCATGTAACCAGAATTATCAAACTAGTTACCTTTTACTTAGACTGAAAATTTTGTTACGATTTATTCATCTTAAATGTGTCATCAGTGAAGATGCTTGTCGTACTAAAAATACTGTTAATTTCAAATTTAAATGGTGCTTTTTAGTTGGATCATGTATTTAAATTTATTTAATATCATTATTTTGGTAGATAAGTACATAAAAACAAGGAAAAGAAAGATAAGCTTGCTTGTTATAAGGATAGTTAGATTTTATATCTCTTATAGGTATAATATAGAAAATGGAACCAAATGAGAGTGCTGATGTTAATATTAGGTTCGGATTATAACAATTTTACAATGTTCTTTTAATATTCCAAGAGATATTATATATGAGAGTGGATTTTATGATTTTATGAAGGTGTAGGATTAGGTACAAAGATGAACTGATTGGAATAAGATGTAGATATATTTTATGTTAATTAAATAAATGTTTCAATGATATATATTATTTTGTTTCATTGTTCTATTCACTTATAAAGTCTTTGAGTAGTATAGTTTTACACACTGTATACATATTTTTGTCTGAAAACGATGAAGTTAAATAAATTAGAAATATTTTTACTTACAGATAATGATAATTAATTAGCGAATTCTATTTTCACTGCTAACTTTAGTATGTATAGTTAAATAATCCATTAATTCAATGTGTTTGAACCCTGAAAAGAGGCTTTCCTAATAATACTACCGTGTTAGTTTCAATATTTCTTTGTTTTCCACGGTTTTCCCTATTGCTTTTAAAATTTCAAATTGGAAATCATCCAACGACTATCATTATTAAATCAATCAAATGCAATCTCGTTCAAGATGATTTATTATCGAAATCTCATATGCTTTTAAAGCACTTACAAAGCAACATTATAGATTATTTCACACTGCTGCCAATTTGTGTTCATAACGGAAGTATATATATATATATATATATATACGAGTATATTGTTTACAAAATTAACATAATATTTTATTACATTAATATAAAATAATTTTCAAAGGATTTTCAAACGAACGGTTCCTTATATTTATTACATAATAAAATTATAAATAATTTATATTTGTATTGACAGCGTGTATTACTTTATTATATTTAATGATTTTTTCCAAATCTTTATACACTGTATCCTATTTTTTAATAACTATAAGCTGATTTTGGCTCAAGCATTCAGGAAAACAATCCATTCGCCAAATTTTAATGAACGTTTTCTTTCTTCAATCCATCTGACTTCCTATATTTTCGTTAATTAATTTTTGAATTAAATCGTAATTTATATTATTTGTGTCATTGAACCTAATGGTTCTTAAATAATATATTACTAAGAATATAATTTGTTTCCTTCATAAAAGTAGATTGACCTCGTTTTAATTTCATTTATAAATTTGGATGTGAATGAACTTAGTGTACTAAGGAATGAACATATTAGGTGAAAAGTCAAAGAGTAATAAATTCGAGGTCAACAACCCTTATTTTGTAAACAAATTAAGCAAGAAAGTTCCTACGGCCTTTTCTTAATTTTAAACGTTCAAAACATTATTTGCTTTGGAAGCTTTATATAGAGTAATCATTTTATACAAAATCCTCTTTAGAGCCTGGCTTCTTCAAAGCCTTGAAAGAGCTCGTCACTTAGGTTTTAAAAGATATATATTATATAAATTATACTAAAATCTTTTTATCTGTCTCTTATCTTTAATATCGCCCTCAAAATCTTTTATGTGAACTACTTTCAATGAACATCTCAAATGCAAGACTAAATTATACACAAACAAATACACACATAGTCTTAATGACTCACGTGCGCACGTATGACTGTCCCTGTATTATTATCTATCACAAGTTTTGCATCTTCATACTACGTACGAAACGTTTCTCGTTTCTCATTCGATAACCGGTCTTAAAACTATGTAATATGTAAAGATATATAAATGAAAACATATTGTGTAACAAATCAAACTCGAGGTAAGTATATGAAACAAACATTGGCTAGATTTTGCATTTATTGTAGTTATTGTCTATTTAATAAGTAATGTAATAATATGTACATATGTATATATAATTAAATAAATATATAATATACATTTTCTTACACTAAAGTATCGTTATATTAAAGTCGGGTATTCTGTGTATTTAAGTCGCGTACTTAATCCTTACATGACAGTTTCATTTAAGTATGTACGTGGCGAAAATCTTAGATATCACAACTTAGATACCTCAAAATAGTTTTCAACTTTATGTATTAATTAATATAATTTATTCCCAAAAAATTAATTAACTTTACACTCAAATCCCGCTGGTGTTAAGCATTTTTGTCTTTTCTTATTAAGCACAACATTTTAATACCAATAACAAATGTATAATATATTTCTCAGATTGAAACCAATTGTTTTTATATAATTGGCTAACTAAAAGACAAACATACAAACGAAAATTGTATATACAGACATTGTCTCTCATGAATGTGAAAAATAAGAATTTTATCATCATATTTTTAGTATACATCATGATCAGTTTTATGAAGCAACAAAGAGATTGATTTAATATATATATATATATATATATATATATATATATATATATATATATATATATATATATATATATATATATATATATATTGACTTCTATAGTTAAATAAAAAACATTTCTTAACAAAAACAGTGAAAATAATTAATTAAAAATCTTTTAAGCTTCATAGAAAATCCTAAATTTACGCCATGCGATGTGCTTTAAACTGTAAAATAATACATGAGCCATAGCCATAATCATGATTATAACAAAGGGCGCACCGATTCAACTCGTACACGCGCTCAAATAAATCACATTCGCATCTCGAACAATGGCAGTGAGATCAGAGGGGTGCGCACCCCAGCTGCGTGTACCAATCGATCTGCGGACCGCTCCAACTTCTCGCTGCTTTTATGCTTAGTCTGTCAACTCCGTTCCGAAATCAAACATCCGTCTGAAAATATATATATATCTTGCCAGTGGTATGTCTTAGAGTGGTGTGTTATAAGTTAAGTGGTGTTATGTGCTAGCTGCTGATGATGGAGGGGCGGAGGTCTTGGGATGGAGTGCCTCTGGGTGAGTCGCACTCTCCTCCACAGTCGGTGCCGGGTAGACGGACGCCGCTAGGGGCCGTCGGCCTCGGCGGCTTCTATATGCAAGGAGGCCAGCCTCCGCCTCCGCAGCACTGCTATCCGACTGATGAAAACCAACCAGAACCCGGCACCAGCTACGCTCAAAGGTATGTTTCGATACGACTTATATACACACATAGATCATTCTACAATTAATCGAATTATAAATAGGTTTTTTTGGTCAATTATCTCAATGTATAAACAAAAATTTTGTTTTCAAGTCCTTCATACTCATTTAAATATTTTCACTGCGCATGCGCAATATAATCCAAAAGTTTGTATTTATTGTTGCAATAAATAAGTCGTAACAGTACATAAGAAAGTATAAAAACTATACAACAGTTTAATGCAATTATAACATTTTTATGTTTTGATCACACATTAATGATTCCGTCAAAAATAAAACGTAAGATAAATTTAAGCAGTTCTTCATATTTCACTCATAAAGTAAGCCTTCACTTCAAACAAATAAGTTTATGCCATAAGTTTAAATAATTTGAATGTAATCAGCCCAGATGTGTCTAAAACATAATAATATGCCGTCTCTAATCCATTCTTTCGTCGTCCCCCAGCTCGTTAGTGGACATAGAAACCTTTTCATTGTTAGATACACAATACAGTAAAGCACTTGTTACGCTTCACATCACTAGTTACCCTTGTCTAATTTAATGCTGGGGTTGTTGGTACCAATGATCTACTCCTGTTGGACTTAAATTGGATTTAAAATTTTTAATACACGGAGTTTTATATGAACTTTTTTCGACCTTTATTTAAAGTAATAAATGTATGATTATTAGTAGAATTTAACTTTAAGTGCAGACTTTTAAAGCATATTAAGCGATTTTTGCAGACCCCTCGGCGATGGTAAATCCAAACAGAAAATGCGTCAAGGCAAAAATGTGAGATTGAACATCAATGCAAGAGAAAGAAGAAGGATGCACGATTTGGTAAGTCATCACAAAAGTAAGACCTTAATCAATATTATCTATATTATCTATATTTAATAAATAACATCTATTTATAATAATGCAATATATAATTATTTTTTACAAATACAAATGTATTCGCCAAACTAACAAACATCAAGAAGGACAATGAATAATTTCATTACTTTAGAGTATTTAGCCTGCTTAAGCTTGAATATTTACTTTCTAAACCTTATCGGATTTAGGTGTACCTATAAATACAAATTTTTATCACGTTTATATTGAAAGTTTAAAAGAAAACATTATATGTTTATAAAAATGTTCTCGTCACGGCAGATTTTAGTTAAAATTTAACAGACATACATAAATATATATGTAGTTCGGAATATCTTATGTTTCTTTTCGGAATTTTCAAGTTTGACTTATTATCTTTTGTTATCTGTGCCATAAAGAATAAAAAATGGAAATATATTAAAAAGTATTCATTAAAAATAAATTTCAACTTTCAAAACTCTAATCAATACAGTTTGTTTTCAGAATGACGCTTTGGATGAACTGCGAGGAGTGATACCATACGCACACTCGCCGTCCGTGAGAAAGTTGTCCAAAATAGCTACCCTCCTGCTAGCCAAGAATTATATTCTGATGCAGGCGAGCGCGCTGGAGGAATTGCGACGGTAGGTTTTCAATTTAAATTAAAACTTTTTCAGCTCTTGGTATCAAATGCTTGGAGTAATCAATTTTCTTTTCTTTATTATCACCATCCAAACAAAACAATATAAAAGCCGAATGGTCTTGTAAAAATGATTTAGTTTTAAATTTTACTTGACAGAATAGAATGAAACGTCGTCATGCCTTTCATCGTGAAGTTTTTGTTATTCATTGTTCATTAATGAAGAAAAAAGTAAACCATAAATCATTACATAAAGTATTGATATTAAATAAACGCCTTTATGCCATTCGACAAACTCCTTCGTATTTTTTTCAACAAAGTATGAGACTATAATTCGTCCAACAAATAAAAATGACATTGGCAAAATAACTCTCGATTCCAGTGCGAATAAAGCTATAGCATAAAAAATATTAAGAAATCAATAAAATACGGCTGAATATATTGATATTATAATCAATGAAACTCACAAAGCTATTATCTATTTCCAGACTAGTTGCGTATCTCCAAGGTACAGCTACAGCGGCTGGAATCGTTCCACCACCAGGTTTCGATCTCGCTGGTATGCCAGCAACCGCCAAGCTTCTTCAGGGACCTCAACCTGGACCACCAACAGCTCCCGACCCCCCATCTTGAGACCCACTCATTAAAAGCGAACCACAGATTTTATAAAGTGTATCCCTTAAATACAATAGCAATCCTAATTAAGAGATAAAAATCGATTTGTTAATCTTAATTTAGACACCATTTAAGGGGTTAGTTACATTTTTAAATTAAGGTTTGTATTAATCTACTATGGTTAAGAACAAATTATTTTTATTTGGAAACATAGTACGAGTATCATGTATTAATTCGTAATGTTTTGCATTTCTAATTTTGCTCAACATTGATAAATGGCTACGATAATATACTATTAAGTTTTAAAAGGATGTTGGTATAGTGAAACGTCACATACAAAAACTCATTAGTTTTCTTTCCATATATGTATTTCGAAATTGCTTTTATCTTTCGAGATATTTCTAAAATAATCCATTTTAAGTACGGTCCATTTAACTCCATCAGTATTACATAATAACTTATGATAAAACTATTAAATTAATTACCCTAGTATTAATTAAAGTTTAGATTTTAGAATATTTCGTCCGATGAGGCGACTGTGAATGCACGTGCCAAAGTAGATAGAAAAGGGTGTTTAATAATGAATACCGTAGTTTGTAAGCGAATTTATAGAACTATAGGAATTTATTTTAATAATATTGAAAATTAGATTGTTTTGTTCGTTTTTCTGGAGTTACTTTCATTTAGGTAACTATATGGAAGTTTTATTCTTACTTCGTGAATTTCTAAATTATATTTTTCGTCCCGTCTGTAATTCTATGAAAGTGATCTCTTGTACTGATAGCTGTACTTATTGTTTAGCCTGATTTTATAGAAATAGATACTAGGTTTAAGAAAAAAATACGGTTATACGGTCTGGTGTAAAAAATATTTACCCAATCTTCATTTACTAGTCCTTCGTGATACTAACAAAGTTTTTAATATATTTCGTATTTTATGTAAGCGCAAACCTTTTATTATGAATTTTTGAGTGCTCTTTACAAAATTTTAATTATTGAAATTTTGTTCTCTAATCACCTCATTTTTATGAAGACACATGCGTTTATCTACATTTTACGTACAAAAGCTTATGTTAACAAAACTGCACATTAAATGAGAATTGTTTAACCTATATGTTCCTGTAGAAACACATAAAAATAGTTTTCCAGAAACACTAATATTTTTATTTTAATAAGTACTTTTATATAGATTGTTTATTATTAAAAATATTAACCAAAGTAAAATGTGATTGTATTTAGCAATAATTTTAATTAAGTACTTTGTAACTATTTATATAAAATATTTTAAGGTAAATTAAATTTATTCTACGAATGTGAATCACTTAAAACGAAACAGAGACTTTTATTTACGTACCTCAAATCTCAATATTATTGAATATAAAAGTCATATTGATGGGAACAGTAGTATTTTTCATTATGTACCTTACAATTTCTCCCAGCAGTATTGTCACTTATTAACAGATAAAGCATTATTTTCAAACAATATTATTACGAAGTATCTCTTATTATCTCTATTAAAACTAAATTCATACTTAATTCCAGTTATAACCTTTTCAACTGTGACATAATATTTCAATAACGGTGAATTGAAATCGTGACAGTGAGAAAGAATGATTCAGCTCAAAAACTTTTTATTGCATGTATCTTTATAAAAGTTATTGTTAAAGGCACTAAACTGATGTGGAATTTCGACATCATTCGACAAAAAAAAACAGATATTTCTTTCATATTATATACAATATTAATCTTTGTGACAGAGAGAAAAAATACTTTTTAGAATATATTTTCTGTATTGTATTGCAAATATAATATATAGCTTACAGAAATGAATTGTTATGTAGAGTCATCTACTGTTTATAGTGAAGTATTATTAATAGCTTAAGCTGTCAGTACTGACTCTACACTTACCGTTATAACTGAGCACTCAAAAGTAACATGCCGCGTATGTTAAAAGCTCTAGGAAGGAAGCTACTGTAATAGTTTTCGTCATTAACAATAGATGGCGCTGTTCTAGATTAACAATTAACCACACCCAAATTCTACTCCGTCGATATTTCCACATTATGTAATGTTAAGTTCAATATGTTTTAAAATTAATAATAATAGCATTAAAAATGTTTTTATTTGGTTTCCATTGAATGGAAACTTAACTATGGATATTTTTTTTGTATCTTTGAAAAATAATCAATAAAATTAATGATTTTTTTTATGTCATATACATGTCGCGAACGCCTAGTCAGCGTTCAATCTACTAGAAACTATTTCTTTTTAAATGTAAATAATATATTTTGTTACACAATAATTTTCAAATAAATGAAAATTTTCTTTTATCACAAAAATAAGCGATTAATATCAAAATATATACAAAAAACTAAACAAAGCTTCGTTTGTACCTAAAATGCAGTGGAGTTTCATTAGGATCTATAATGGAAATTATTATCTTGAATAAATAGTATTCCTGAATAAAAATTCCCAGAATATAAATCTTATAAGCACTAACACCTCGAGTAAAGAGATATTTAGGTATTATGACGTCTTTAACCTTTAACATTAGCGGCTTACATGACATTTTGTTGTTATAACTTTTGACATACTTTCCGTGTGCCCCTTCAGTACATTATTTATAAGACATCGACTACACTCAAAATAGTATCATTAGTAAAAAAATAGTGGTTAATACGTAAACAAAAGTTATTTTAGAACTAGAAGGGAAATGAAAAAATAGCGTTAAATGTATTATTATTATCGTGAAAAACAGAGAGATACTCGTATAATCTGTAAAGATCGAATATTTATATTTATTTGGACCTCATTCATTCATCGGAATATATCTTTAATTAAGCTGTTGTTGGATTAATTTTACTAAACGAAACACGCTATTAAATAAAAAAAATTATTCCGAAGCTCGATAATTCAATCTATATGATTTTCACTCACTTAACACATTCAAAGAAAAATATATTTTCGTTTCAACCTCAGTGTATATGCATTATATGTTTAATGGTTTATTCTGACGTATCAATTACTTTACAATAATGGTGTTCAGGAGAAGGCGAAAAGACTAAACTTAATAACAAATATAAATTAATGAATACATAATAATAAAGTAAACAATTAAATTGGATTTTTTGGTGTTGCTCAAACAATTCCTGCTATATTTATGTTTTAAAATTACCTTATATACTAGAATATTGATTTTCATAGGACATATTTTTCAGAGAAATATTTCTCTTTATAATCCCAAAGATTTATTTATCATGTAGATATATTAAGCTTGTTAAATTATGTACACTTTAAGTACTTAATTGTACTTTATGAGTTTAAAGTACAATTCAAAAGTGTTGATATAGAAAAATTTGGATACCTGTACTATGTACGAAATATACATAAATAAATATTGTACACAGAAACAAAAACACGTGAATCGATGAAATATTGAATAAAAAGATAAACTCTACCTCTGAAGATTTTCCATCAAAGTTATAATATAATTTTGCCGGCAGAAATATGTAAAGAAAAAATATCACCTCTACACTGCTTTAGCGGATACAGTTCGGAAATTATGAAAGTTATATCATAAAATGTATATTGGAGCATTATTAAATATTACTATTTATTAATTAAACTGTTGTATATAATGTTTTATATATTTTTTATCATATTATACACCTGAGAATGTTAGCAAGAAGCTCAATAACCTTATGAAGCTCGCTGAACCAACGGTCATGGGTTTACCTACGTCTGGCTCTACCGCGACCTAGCTTTTGATGGGTGATTGAATAAATATACAAAAAGACAAAAGCCCAGTACTAGCTTAATATCACAGAAATATACATTTACATTTCTTTCTCTAAGCACATTAACTATTTATCCTGATTCTTGTCTGATATTAGCAATTAATTTCAATTAGAAATCATAAAAGCCTTATGCAACATTTATATTACAACAGCGTGTACACCACAAAACCAAACTAATATAAAAATTACACCTGAAACACATTAAAAATAATGGCATCATTATTTACCTACCCTCCTTTTTGTTTTATATTCATAAACATAATATAGTCGTATGTTTCAATTACATATGTATAATACACGTATATATGTATAGTCTGTACAGCATTGTCGTCAGAGTACAGGGAAGCAATTCCAGCCCTAACGGCGATGAATACAAGAGAGGTTGACTCCTAGCTATGTAGCACGAAATTTAATCTACCCCCGTCTGCCACCCCAAGCCCTCCCTCCCAACACACCTACATACTATATGTCTGTTATAAAAATTATTTATTCATATCAACCGTGCTTTTAATGGATATTTCAAACGGTAATGAACGCTATATGAAGAAGTTTGCTTTTTACTGTTACCATGTGAACGTCAAAACAGCCTCGATGCAAGATACGATGTTGTGCCTAGGTACGATACGACACGGTGTTTGTATTATAGGTAGGTAGGTTCTAGACAGACCTACTGTACACAGGAACTGGCAGCGAGACAGTATAACGTGGAAGAATGAATAAAACGAACAATTTAAATATGTTTAACATCTTATTAACAAAATAATCACGTCTTATTTAGTAGTTATATCATACAACTGATGTGAGTTTCTTTAATTTTATAAAATTAACCTAACATTACTATCTATTGCGTCAAGCGATAACACTCATTAGACATTTTTTTGCATACTTACATGATCTTATGTAACCAAATATTACAAGTAAAAATTATTATCCTCTAAATATTGGATTTTTTCATATGGCAACCCTTTAAAGGCAATCAATAATTTTTAATTACTTATTTAATGAAAACAGAATCTTGATATTGTATATCCATAAAATATGGAACAGACAATATATAAAGTAGGTAAACGTATATATTATGTACGTACTAACGCTATATCAAAGTATTTAATGGTAAATAAATTGTTAGATGAAACAAGATTTTAATCACGTATTTCTTATCATCACAGAAAGAAGAGAAGTCCTTTTCTTCTCTTCTTTTTAAAATAACAACAAATAAAATATTAACACATTATTACATTATACTCTTTCCTATTTGGGACAGTGTCGTGTTATATATTTATGACGTAGGTACAAAATATAATATATACAAATATTATAATAATCTGTAAATTTTACATGTTCTGTATAAATTACAGGCGAGAGCGAGAAGGCCCTATGCCAGCGTCGCTTTCGCCCTCTGCGAAAGCCTCCTGAAAATATCTATTGATTATCATATACATGCCGCTTGGTACGTATAGCCTCGCCCTATATTATGTCTACCACAGAGTGCCAATTTATTTGAAGAACGCTTATATTCTGAAGTAAGTAGACTATCCAAGTAATTAGTCGTGATATTTAAGGTCCTTTCATAATGAAACTGTTTTACAAAGATGAAATAAATTTGTATTAGAGACGTAGAGCTTTCAATTACTCGTGTAATACCGTTGCAGATATACGTTCTTATCTCGCCGCTTTGTAAGTCGAACTAATAATAACGTTTCTTAAAATAGTCTATAACATATGTACGTAGATTACCTTGAGTGACGAAACTCTATTTTTATTAGGAATCCATGCGTTTCGCTGTTCGCCGGTACCTTGCTTAGTTCGTACTGTATAATGACATACAAGTAGTTGTTTGTAATCTTGCTCGTAAACTATATAAAAATGAAATAACCTTGGATAAGAATTACGACTCTGATATTATTTAGAAACAACTCCGTTTCTTTTTATTATTACTATTTATATAATTTGCTCACTACGACTCATTATAAACTGAATTATGCAATTTTATTAACGCATGTAGACAATACCTATTAGAATAATAAATGATTAAAACCTGCTTGGTTGAATTAAAACTTAAATATAATTATTATATAATCTTATTAATTATTACTCCATAATCATTATAGGAATATATGAATAAATATTTTTATTGCTACTAAAAACTTTAAGATAATAAAATATTCCGTCTGTCAGTGGATTTAATGCAGTTATATTCAAAAGTATTAGTTATTAAATGAAAAAGTTTTGCTGTTAATTTTTATAAACGGAAATTTGATAGTACCGACTGATATTAAATGTTTAAAATAAAAATATAAAATTTTCCATATGACGTCAAGATTTGTAAGAGTAGTACCAAATCTTGAGTTATACGAAATAAATAAGTTTTAAATGTTTCACTACATATTATTCAACGTATTTGATTTAATTTAGTTACTTTCCTTGAGTACGTAATCTTGAAAAATAGCCACGTAATTAATTTTTATATTGTACTTTCCATGATTGTAGACTAACGGATTGGCAATATTTGTTAAAAGTTAAACAGTTTAGGGTCAAGGCAAGCTTTTGGTCGTGACATTTATACATCAGCGTCAAACTTATACCTTACAACAAAATCCAAATTGTTTTATAGATAAAAAAAATGCACGCGATAGAAACACAATTACTTTATCGATCGGCAGTGCTCCTTCTATGTTACTTATAAAGTTTTTATTGCAAAATAATTACGATAGAAAAAAACTCAATATATATGTTGACTGTGTAGATAATCAATAAAATTGTGGAATGTTTTCAGAAATTGAGTTTTTTTCTGTAAGTTATTTATCTTAATAAGTATATTTAGAAAATTAGACAGCATTTTTTATGGTTTCCACGTAAATAATTAAGCCCTTTTATCATTTTAATAAATATTTAATAAGTTTCACTCCAAAAAGGCTATACTGTTTGTTATTAATTAATGAGACTCCGTGTTTAGTGAGGGCGGGGTGTAAGAAAAGTGACACGGTATACCAATGTTCCTTTATTCATGACATATTTTGTAGAAAGGCCCAAAATATTCATTTTTTATTTTAAACTAGTTTTTGCCCGCGACTTCGTCTGCGTTAGTTTCAGAATTAGAAATGTATATCTCACTGAGTGAACTCTATTCCTCCTTAAAAAAAATTTCTCGGCGGCATCGTAACGTAATTAATCAAAGTGAGAAAATTTCTCGAATTCACTTGAATGACTGACAAATTAGTTAGTTGTCAAATCTAATGTCAAAAAGCCGTTTGTATGGGAAACAGAAAAGGGCTGTTTTTAGGATTTTTCCAGTAATGAATCAATTTTTTTCAGCTTTTATTCCTTCCCTGAACCTCCACGAACATTTCAAGACTAAGATAAGATAAATCCGTTCAGCCGTTCTCGAGTTTTAGCGAGACTAAGGAACAGCAATCCATTTTTATATATATAGAAGATATAAAAATTCATTTAGAATGACAAACAATCTTGTTACAAAAAAAAATTTTGGATGGTAAAAAAAGTGCCAGACCCAATCTTAATAATCTGTTTGTTGGTACCTATAAATTGTCTTGTAATATTCTGTTCATAAATATCATCTATCACAATTTAAATATTGATTGGTTGATAAGGATTTAATGAAATAAGAAAAAATATCTTTTTTTCATGGATTTATCAGATAACATGACTCCTTGGTACTGATAACTTTTTTATTTTCATTTGACACATTTAAAATTTTGAAACGGTTTAAAATTTTAAGTCTAAACATTTACGTATTAGATATAATTTAGTATCAAAATTATTTATTCTTTGATAAGACCTTATCCACAATCTATACGAGATAATTTATCTTTGACTTAATAGTTAGAACTTAAATTCGAGAGAAGAATTAGTTATTATTAGAGCGTAATTTTATGAATATTGAATAAGACCGATGAAAGTAACTACAGATGCTTCTTGCAGAGTTTAACGATACAGTTATTTGTGGCCGTCTGCCATAAAAAATATGTATATAACATTCATGATATGACGTAGACGAGCTCCGACCAACGACACAGACCTGTCGAGTTGGCTTGAGAGCAAGGGATTGTGAACTCAGAAGAATGATTCACCATCTTTGAAGCAAGGCCAATAGATATCATCACGTTATAAGGAAATAATATAAAATTAAACAATTCTATTAAAGAATATGTTTAAGTAACGAACGTTTCTTAATATTTATTTCAAAATCTTATCTCCCACCCTTCAGTTGTGTTACGATGAAGAGTTTCAAAAATATAAAATATTCATGGAACAATTGATACTAATACAACATTCTCGATCCATCTAATCCTAACGAAAGTCGTTTTACTATAAATAAATAATATTAATAATGTATTTGGGTAATGGAATTTTTCAATGTAAAGCTGATATTATTTCTACTGTCGAGAGACATAGCGCTTGCGCGCTCGACGGGTGAGCGCGGTGCGGAGGGTCGCAAGGCCGGGGGGAGGTGGCGGGGGGAGGTAACGTCACGTCGAACCATACAAGCTATACCCAACTAAATTCAGAAGGCCCCTCGCAGTAACCAGGCACGTAGAGTTAGTCGCCTTTTACACTTTCCAGTATGCAAACTTGCCTGCGTCGCCCAAGAGTCGTTCAACACGATTACGCGAGTGGCAACGGTTAGTTAGATGTGGTAAAAGTGAGCTCTCTCCCGAGTGTTTTAATTGTGTTGACTTTACTAATAAAAATATTTTAATCGATCGTTTGGTGTACATTATTTAGTGAAAGACTACTGGCTGAATAATATATTTAATTAGAAGGAATATATGTGGGATTGCTATCAAAATAAAACAGATAATAATAAATAAAGAACAATACGGCGCGTCATTGCAACGGGAGTGTAATAAAAGACCTTATTGCCTTGAATATTGTTGCCATATTTGACAGTGCGTTTAAGTGATAACCAAATTAATAAAAATTATGATTCCTCGAAATGAATATTTTCTGATGACGACGGCATAAGAATGATCAGAATTATTAAGACGATGGAACAAAATGGACTGGAGAATTCGAAGATACATGTATACAAATGCAGGTGAAGCTCGCTGAGGCCACAGACTTTTGAAACAGGTACCGGTTTTGTATTATCATTTTGTTTGATTTATAATGCTGCTGCGTTCAAACCCAACGTTCCCTGCACCCGTCCTAACAAAAAAAAGAAAATCTTAATTCCATCGAAACTATTTTGATACTTTTACATTTATTACACGTATAGTTATATTTATAAATCAAAGTAATTATATTATATAAGTACAATTTATATTTCATTTACAGAAAATCATGGACAGCAATCAAATTGAATCAGTTCAAAAATCAGAGGAATCACTAATCCCTAGTGATAAACCATCAATGGAAGAAAGTATAGGGAATTGTTTACCTGTGATAAGAGACGACAAAAATAGTGATAGTGACGTTAATAGTGAAGACCTCAGCAATAATGTTGAACAAGATAACATAAGCAACTCTCAGTTTTATGAGAGTAGTGATAGTAAGCTAGATTACGCTGTAAAGATGGATGATAATGATACTTTGAGTGACATTGATGACATTAAAACAGACACCGCGTCCGCCGACAGTGAGGACTCGGCCTTAGGAAGTCTTCCGCCAGACTCGGCCCTTACTGACAGGGAAGAAGACGCCCAGGACAGATCAGATGGAAGTGACTCCGGACTCGGCTCGGAGACCACAGATGAACCGAAATTACCTGACTTTAACCTACAATGTAATAACGAAGAAAACAGCAATACGCGAGATAATGAAGTAAAATTTGACCCCATCTCGGACAACGATAAAGTCGAAGAGGATAAAAATACTGAGACTTCAATCAAAAAACCCCAGAAAAGCAATCTTAAAAGAAAACCCGATTTTGAAAGCAATAATGAACCCGAAATGAAAAAACAAAAGAATAATATTCATTTTAATAATATAACCGTTTATTACTTCCCAAGGACACAAGGTTTTACATGCGTCCCATCTCAAGGCGGCTCTACATTGGGAATGGAATGGGAACATAGCCACGTTCAGACATTTACGTTAACCGAACACGCACTAGAACAAAAAAGATTACACAGACAAGTTTTACAGCAGTTAAAAAGTGAGCGCCATAACTTACAAGGAGTTTCCTTGTCATCGAGTGAGGACAGCGACACTGAGGAGGAAGCGAGTGATATATCCGAATCAGAGCTAGACTTAGATAGTTATTATTTCTTACAGCCAGTCCCTACCAGACAAAGAAGAGCTTTACTCCGAGCGGCTGGCGTCCGAAAAATTGAAGGTTACGAAAAAGACGAATGTAGGGATATAAGGACGTCTCGTGAATTTTGTGGTTGTGCTTGTAAAGGTGTTTGCAATCCAGAAAACTGTCTTTGCAGTATATCTGGAATAAAATGTCAAGTTGATAGATTAAATTTTCCATGCGGCTGTACGAGAGATGGATGTGGCAACGAAACTGGCCGAATAGAATTCAACCCCATGAGAGTGAGAACTCACTTTATAAATACCTTAATGAGATTAGGCCTAGAAAAGAAAAATGAGGAGGCCCAGGAGGCTGTAAAACGTAAATGGGCGGAGGCACATATTTCGTCGACATGTGTCACAGATTCTTCTTACGAAAAAGAAAACTGTCATATCCAAGATAATAATTTGACTTCCAATACTAACTCAACCCCCAGAATAGGCATAGAATCTTGCATTAGCCCAGGTTTCACTGGTATTCATCATAACATGAACCTACCTTGTAATAATCAAAATGATGCATCATATAATTTTAGAAATGACCAAACAGATCATAGAAATATTAAGTCCAATAACATGATGAATTTCCATGACGAGTCCAATCATGGAAATCATGATTATACCTCAAACATACTTCAAGGAAAAGGTCCTCCTTACTCGTCAACAGCTATGAATTTCAATATGTCGAATAACATGCAAAGATATCCTGATCTCAACTATACTTATGATCAACAACATTCAGATGGACATCTCTTTAAGGGGATTCATAGTTATCCAGCATCTACCTTTGAAGAGTTTGCTCATAACTCTCAGATGACAATGCTGAATCATTATGGCCATATGTACGTCCCTGAATATTTGCACAAACCTAGTACAAGTATGCAGGAACACAATATGCAGTATCATATGATGCAACAAAACCATTATGATATGTATAAAAACCCGGAAAATGTAAATATGGACAACAAGACCGATGCTCATTACACTACTTTATTATCAATGCCATATCAACAAAGCAATAAATTACAAACTATAGAAAATGATGAGAATTGGTTTAGTCACAATACTCTTTTCAACTTAGACCACTCGGTACAAGTTACACAAGAAGTCCCAGTTGAACACTCAGAAGTTGCACCAACATTAGTGGAAAGTGAAGTAAGTGATGCTACAGAGAATTTTGGTGAACTCATAAAAAAAACTATGGTAGAATCTGTTACAGTGTAGTCAAATAAATTGTTATCTTTTAACTCTTACAATAAATTATCATGTTACTAAGTTTTTATTATATTAATTGGAAACTTATGTTGATTTCTAACTTTTAAATTAATATGAATTAAAAAATGCTATATTACTAACATTATATTTATTTAATAAAAGAAGGTGATGTTTATGAGTCTTAACAGGCAGTTATTTGTTGTAATGCTCTCTTTTAATATACTTTAAGAAGTCATGAAACTTATATTGTAGCAAAGAGCTTGCTTCGTAACTATTAATTAACAATAATCCTGCTATTACACTACTACTGCTACTATTATAAATGCAGACATAACCACTAGTCACAACTCCACTGGTTGATTTTATGTTTCTTACACAGTCACTCACGTAAAATCTCCCAAATATTTTTAACTGAATTGTTGCAAAAACGTAGCTCCTAAAATTATTAAAATAACCCAGGGTATCGGCTGCGAAGTTAATTTAAAGTAGAGCATAAATAAAAAGAAAATTAAATATATATGTTTCAATAATTAAACAACTTACAGCTCAAACAGTAGATGCCAACAATTATAATTTGCATATTATAAATCTTGCCAAATTTTCATGATTTAAGTTTCATTCACACTAAGGTGTTAATGAAGAAAATGCAAATCGATTATTTTATTTCCTGTAAAAGTTCTAAAATACTATGTTTAATATTTATTAGCCATTGTTGACACGAATGACGTAAAAATCCTTGAACTATAACGAATGGAATTTAAAAGTATCATCGAAAAACGCAAAGCTAAGCGAGTTATTTTTAGGATAAAAAATAAAATCGTTAATGTTACAGATGCCATATACAATATTATTTTCTTTTAAAAGATATATATTTTTTGTTTTGCTGATTTGATGGTAAGTATGTTTTTTAATTGAGTTATGTTATAATCGGCAAATGAGTATATGATCTAACTCTTCAATTATTTATCAGAATCTTTGCAGGTAAGTTTTTTAATATCGATATTAATGTTTAAAGGAAACTTTATTATATTTTTTACACTTATATATAATTAGGTTCACCCACCCTTAACATTGTATTGTTTTAATTTAGGAATAATGTGATTCAAAAGAAAAGATTTCTATTATAAATGTTTAAATCCGTACTTTAACAAAACATTTTTATACAAGTTATTATTACGTCAACTACGAAATACATACATACATCTTTCGTTAATATTACAATATAAAGACATAAGTAATTACAGTACATTTTCTTTTTGAAGAATCCTTTAATTATTAGTGTTACTCTCTACCTACTTAAGTATATAGGGTAAAAATAATTTCAGAAAAAAAAAATGAAAAATGCGTGCGTACAAAGTACACATGTCAGAAGTGAAACTTCTTTGGCGAACTAATTTATAAATCTTGTTTATATTTATACAAATCTAAAACGTTATACGACGTTCGATCTGTCTCACTTTTTCTCTCAATCTTTCTTACTTGCTTGCTCCCTACTCTCACTCCACGGCGATTTGCTTCATGCCACGTTCGCCCTGTCTCACTCTCTCTCAATCGGTCTCGATCGCTCTCTCTCTCTCTCTTTCGATACTCCCTTTACATACCGGCGTGACATTACATCTGTAAAATTTTTACCCTCGTGCGCGTAAAGAAGTATCACTTCAAAAATATTTAAATTGTTTAAAAAAAAACAGCACTTTCATACATAAAAATATATAAATAGATATTTGCCAGGCAGATCAGAAATTTATTTTAATATAGTTTTTTATGAAAACCATGACTTAAGATTCTTCCGCGAGTATTCATTTTTGATTCTTATGTCTAAAGTAATGTAAATTAAAGGAAAAGAAACGTTTGTGAAAAGTGTATAGACAGGATTGAGTTTAATAATCAACACATTTGTTACATGTGGTATAAATCCCGTTTATACTAAAATACAATATTAATGTCTCATGCTGTTAAAAAAATGTTAGTAAATTTATCATAACTTGTTGTAAATATCTTTCATACCTGATATTTTTCCCACCTTTCAAAATTACATACCTTACTTTTTTTTACTTCATTAGTAACTCTATGAGTTTTGCTTGAACGCGCCTTTATGAACTAATTTTTGTATGGTACCTTATTATATTATTATTATACGAGGATTATATATGCCAAAAAAGACGGGAAGATATATTTCAGTCAAAAATTATATTATAGTAATAAAATTATAGGTAACTTATTTAATCTATTATTCCAGAATATTCTATGTTACTTGTTACCAAAAGTAATTTAACCTAAAATATCTTTCATCATTTCTAATTCATTTAACAATGGAGCTAAAGATAAAAAGATGAACATTTTCAATATAATTTATTGTCTATAATTTAATACAATGTAAAATACTTTTTCATAGTAGAATAATATTCATAATTATCTAACAGATTACAAAATATATAAAAATCATCATGTTAAACTCCAGACTTTAATTGACTTATCATCACTAGCCGTTGTGAGGGTTTTTGAGGCTGCATCATAGTAAATGGACCTGATGAGATCTGAAAACAATACACATAATAATGATTAAAGCAAGTTATACTTCTGTTTACATAAAGCCGTCAGATCAAGACAATCCTACTAATATTATAATTGCGAAAGTTTGTGAGTGTGTGTGTGTGTTTGTTACTTCTTCACGCTCAAACGGCTGAATCGATTTTGAAATTTTGTATACAGGAAGCTGTCGTCCAGAAATAACACATAGGCTACTTTACATCCCGGAAATCCGCAGGTAACACCGCGGGATGCAGGTAGTTTAGTATAAACTATTTAGTATACTGTACTGAAACACACACAGACATAAACAGACATTTTAGTACATATAGGATTTAAATACATAATATACATATTAACATTTATTATACTAGAACACACACACACACACAGACAAACACATTACTTTTTTTATTTTTTTTTTTAAATTTATTTATTTATCTCAGACATAGTCCATATTTAAATACATATTAGTAATACATGTCAACCTTATAACTAATGTTAGTAAAAGCAAATGATAATAATAATAATAATAATAATAAAAACAAACAAAACAAAACAGAGACAAACACAAAAGACAAAAATCGCTATTTTTAGGCAGCGTGTAGCCGTACCCAGTGGCGCAGTATTTCAGAGTCCCAGCGGCCAGCCGGTGCACACAGAATGCTGTTCGAACTGGATCGCAACCTCTGAAGCGCAGATGCACTCCTCTTGCGAATAATAGCATAAAAGCTATCAACACGCCTCTCAGCAAACATTTCGGAGGCGCTACAGTAGCGCGGCAATCCGAACAGCACTCTGAATGCATTGTTGTACTGAACTCGCAGAGCGCTGTACGCGCGCTGCGTATACTTAACCCAAAGGCTGCAGGTGTAAAAGGATTGGCAATATGCCTTGAACAAAGTTAATTTTACACTCTCAGTACACCGTGCAAACCTTCGGGCCTGCATGTTACAGCGCACGGCCAGCGCCCTGCGCTCTCGCTCCAATATTATGCATATACACATTACATTTACTATGTTGCGACACACACACACACACACACACACATACATCAACACATTTATGTAACACACACATAGACACGATCGCACTAACACACACACACACACACACATAATCCAACACTTCTCATATCCAGTACCTTGATGAGCTTCATACTCCCCCAGTTGTCTCACAGCGAGCATGTCCATCTGCAGCAGCAGCCCGGCACCTCCCGCCCACACCACGTCACCGTCCGAACACACAGACCTCAGGGTTGACGACACCTGCTTCTCGAACACCTGAACATTATAATATATGATAATATACTAGTATTCTCTTAAAACTTAGTCCCAACGAACTTGGGTTTAGAGAGCAATGGATAAAGTATATTAAAATAAAAGGTATGATACGAAACCGACAGCGACATCTATCGTGTGTAACGTGACTATGCAAAATAAAACTATCATGATGTGCTCCCGTGTAAATTACATTGTTTTCAGGATTTATTACAATCTATATCTCATTTAGATGTCTAAACTACATAAGTGAAAAGTTTCATTAAAATTGGTTGAATGCTTTTTACGTTAAACGACAACAAACATTCATACATCGTTATCAACTTTTTCAGTTATGTTATAAGCATGACTTTAAAAATGCAAATATACATCCTGTAAAAATAACTGTAGTTACCTAATCGCTATTACACCAATAAATAAATACAGAGCTAATGCACAATAAGTATTAAATGATTTCTAATAGAATTCATATTACAGATTCATTTACCGAATTCAATACTTTCAGATCAGTGACACTCAAGTCACCATTTTCACTCGCGCTGACAATTCTCTCCTCTGACAATAGACATATACCGGCGACGGGCGAGGGATGAACCGCGATCTTATTCATCAACTCCTTGGTTGAGTAATCCCAGAGGTATACATCACCGTCGCTGGTCCCTGATAATATGTCCAAGTAGTGTTTCCTGTACCTAAAACACAAGTGGCGTTAGTAGTGTACCATTAAAATGTTCTATGAAGATGCTTAAGCTAAATAATGATGGATCAATAAAAAAGCTTCATTTCAGTCATCAGCTCCAGCATTATATTTAAATTAATTAGACTTAATTTACTCATAAATACGACTGTGTGTATAAATAACTAGTCCAATGCAGTACATACTTACTTAATGATCTTAGGCAAAGAATTGTTATTGAAAAAAAGTCATACATTATGGTCGATTTCAATATATGTAATTCAGTATAAGCTGAGCTTTGCATTTGTGTGAGTGCACATTGATAGTGTAGGTGTGATCTAAAATTTTTGAATACAACTAAAAGTTTTTTGTCTAACTCTACTTTTAATTTCACTCACACAAATGCAAAGCTCAGCTTAAGTCTAACGGACGATAAATATCCATAGAGTACGAGTGCCCCACAGACCTGACAGCCAGTGCGGTGACTCGTCCGTCGTGGTCGAGCTCCGCCCTCAGTCCGCGGAGCGCCAGCCCCGCGCCCGCACGCCTCCACGCACGTACTACGGCGTCCCACCCGCCAGATAACAACACGCGCTCTATAAAAAAGATATTAAGAAATTACAGATTATATATAACATTATCACATGTTTTATGTTTATCTGTCTCTTACAACATGTTTATAAAGAACTTCCCTAATATGACGTATTTCGATTTAACGAGATCAGTATGCTTTGTCCAACTTTTCATAGTCCTACTACATACGGAGCGAATCCGGTTTTTTATTCATAAATATTTCTCACATACATATTAGCGTACGATATTGACATGAAATGAGAGACGCTTTGTATGTAGTGTAACGATTCAATCTTGTGGTGAGCACATTACTGCGTATGCAAAGTAATCTTTCTCAAGGCACGTCAGCCATGATTTTTTGTTTGATCTTACTAGACGAGGGAAACAGGTTTGAAAAAACGTTATTTTAATTAGAAATCGGTTAGTGATTGTTTAAGAGTAAGAGAAAAATTGAACAATTCACCCCCTCTCCCTTGCAATCTTAATTTTTATACATATAATTTTAATTTCATTATACATATAAAAAATTAAGTTAATGTTCAATATACGTAATATTACAAGACACATATTGTACCTTTAGGTAGCCACAGCAGACAGCTGACTGAGTCATCATGAGCTCTAAAACTCTCCACAACCCGGCCGTACTCTACGTCGTATAAATAGCTGTAATTTAAAAATATAATATATAAATAGGAGAATATAGTCAAAAGTTAGTTGTCAAATCTAATGTCAAAGAAAACGTTTGTATGGGAAATAGAAAAGGGCTGTTTATAGGGTTCTTCCGGAAATTAATCAATTTCTTTCAGCTTTTAAACCTTCCCTGAACCTCCACGAACATTTCAAGACTAAGATAGGATAAATCCGTTCAGCCATTCTCGAGTTTTAGTGAGACCAATGAACAGCAATTCATTTTTATATATATAAGATAAGCAAATAATATGACATACAGATTCGCTAAAAACTTTTTGAGCTTACAGTCCTATATTACTAATATTAAAGACAAGGATTTATTTATCTGTATAAATCTTAAGGTGTTTCAAAAGTTATAAATGTATACTAGTTTAACCTAAGCTGTTTTAATACATAAAAAAAACGATACAAACATTTCATTATCCCACGAACCAGCAGCGACAATATGCTCGTCCACCATAACACATGAACTAAGCGGCGTACTGCACAGTATGACGCTACGTATCTGTTTATCCTGGACCACATCATACACTTTCAGAGTACCGTCCTTACCAACAGATATGATTCTGTCCCTTTCTCTCATAACACAAGTCACAGCTTCCTTATGTAATGTAATTATTTTAATACATTCTATATGATTGCTTGGCTTTGTGTTAATAGGTTTTATTATCTTCTGTGGTATTCTTTTCACGTGTGGCTTAGTGAACAGCTGTTTCGGTATCTGACCGAACTCCATTATCTGTACTTCGAGCGCGTGTCGATCGTTCATATCGTATATCACGTCCAAGTCTATGGAGCCTTCGTAGCACACGTGGTGGAATACTACGAATACATATTAATTATTATGTATACATATATATATGAGAGTTGGAATTTTTTGTATTTTTGTTGATAGCATTATGAAATAAAAAAGGTTAATTATGTTAAGGTATACATAAATAATAAATTGTACATTAAATAATATAAATATGAAAATTTTTAGCAATTTAAACGAGCATTAAAACTTGCAACAATATTCACAACTACCCTCATTGCTCCAAATAAAAACAACCCACATAAACTTCGTTTATCATAAAATTAGATAATACATCAAATATACATACCATTATTAGCTTTAACAGCCTCCTCGCCGCGTTGTTTATAACCAAATATGAGATCAATCCAGGCGTGTAAGTATCTGGACACGTAATCACTTTCTAAAGCCTGTCTTAGTTTGTGTACAAATTGTTCTGGTGACTCCGCCCACGGTGGTAACGCCACGTCCGCTACCTTTGACCCGTCGTGACGCTCCCCGAAATCTATATCGTGTATATTAACTAGGAAATCGCCCTTTGTACTCGTGTCGTAGAACTCCGCTACTAGCTCCTGGAATTAATAGAAGATATCTTTATTATATTAAAATATTTTTTTTTCTATAAATCAATCGTAGATACTTCATATACAGGGTGACTGATGAATTACTATCGATACTTGAGGACGTGATATTTGACGATCATATATGACAAAACAAAAATTAATATAACATAAATATTAATAAACTTCTTACTTAGATTAGTTAACCAAAAGTTATGTAATTAATTACGCATCGTGTGGACACCCTACATCGTGTGAACACGCGTAAGATCGATCGCTAGGCGCGCGCGCGGGAAGACGGACGTACACACCTTACGGCGGCCCTCGCCCGACTAATTAGCCACGGGGCGGGGGTTGGGGGTAGCGCCATACGCGTGCGGCGGCGTGGTGTTGTATCAGCACGCCGCCGCACCCGTCCACGCTTGGAACACTTGGAACGTGTCCACACTTTATTTATTTATACGTAAATTTGGTCAAAAATTAACTACCTATTTTTTTTACATAATTCGAATGAGGGTCATGTACCGAGTATTCTCCTTAAATATTGATAGTAATTCACCAGTCACCCTGTATAAACAACCTACTACAAATATATTTTTCTTAGTAAGGCTCAAATTATTCAATAATTAAAATACAGTAATACATAAAATAGACTTTCTAAAATACTTCTAAGATTTCTTAATATACAGGGTGACTAGTGAATTACTATCAATATTTAAGGAGAATACTCGGTACATGATTCTCATTCGAATTATGTAAAAAAAATAGGCACTTAATTTTTGACAAAATTTCCGTATAAATAAATAAAGTGTTGACACGTTCCAAGTGTTCCAAGTGTGGACGCGTGCGGCGGCGTGCTGATACAACACCACGCCCCGCTCGCGTATGTGTGAGTGTGAGTGTATACCTAATCTGTAGGGTGTTCACATGATGCGTAATTAATTACATAACTTTTGGTTAACTTTACTTAGAAGTTTATTAATATTTATGTTATATTAATTTTTATTTTGTCATATATGATCGTCAAATATCACGTCCTCAAATATCGATAGTAATTCACCAGTCACCCTGTATATGTAAGTAAATGTGTCTACCAACCTTAAAATCCGACATATTCTTCAAACAATTATTATAAACGTCCTTCACTGAATTGAACATTCTATCTGGATGATCAAATCTTCCGTTTTGTAAACACAACATGTACTGGGGATATTTCCTTACCTGAAATTATTAACAAATAAATTTAACAATGCTTCTTTTTTAAATGATAACTTCTTATTCGAAGGTAGACCGCTTCGTAACGTAACGGGTAACGCTCCGTTGAGGCTCGTTTCCTTTTCTCTCATACTGCATCAGTATTACACGCAAGCGTCAAAAGGAATCGAGTCATATTAAATATATTCATAGACATGGAATCAACTCAATGTATAACATTTTAGTAATTGCCTAATTTCTTTATATCTACCAAAATTGCTATATTAACTAGTTTAAGTTATCATTTCTGTCGAGCGTAACGAAACGCACAACTTTTTAATAAAAACTTACCAAATAAAACAATACAAGACCAGGAGCGGAATAATGAGATCCATATAAAAATTTCGGGTCAGACATTTCATGGAATCTTTCTAGTAATTTCTCTAATCTGTCTGAATTCAAAGCGCCCATAGGTTTAGTGAGATCTCGGAATGTGTCTGCATTATCTAAATCTAATGTTTCTGATGTATAATCTGCCACCACCCAAGGAAATACAGGATATTGTGTTAAATCCTTCGTACTCCTGTCAGCAAGACTGAAAGAAATATTGTGTAATGAGATGTATGTAGGCTTAACAAAAGAGTTTTTAAAGGAGGTTCTTAAATTGTCTACCAATCAGTGCATACAACCTATACATATTTTTATATGTTTATCTACATGAGAGTAGTAGTTGCAGTTCAAAACCTTCTCCCAACATAGTTTAAATTGTAAAGCTACATCCTCCCAAAGACATTCTAGTTTTAATAGTGGAATGCACTGAATTTTGTTAGTAATATTTTGAATTAATAAAATATATTAACTCTCATAAACCTATTCAAGAAAACAAAATCTCTTTATACTTTGTCTAAATTGTTATGTATATTATCCAGATTCATAAAAAAATACCAACCAGTTGAGATACATCAGATAATCATAATTGGATACAATTCCATTCTGCCACTGGAGTGTCATTTCTTCAACATGAATGGGCTCCAAGTGGACATTAGGAGATTCTTCTAGAATTTTATATGCTAGATCTCTGTCTTCTTCACATTGGAATACAAGATATATGTAAGATATGGCAGTACCTTCTTTACCATATATTTCAAGCCCCTGAAATGAATAACATAAATAATAAAATGTAGAATTAAGGACAGTAGTATACTTAGATTAAAATAAAGCGTAACCACAACACTTAAAGCCAATTGGGTGCTGATTAAGTGAACGGAATTTGAAAGTCATTAATAATCTAAAATATATTCTGATTAATCCATTGTTCCACAGTATAATTATTTAATTTTTTTTAAATATGGGAATTGAAAAAAGGTGACTGTATATAGAGATAAGTTTCTTATTAATATATATATACTGGGTATGTAGCATATGCATGAAATATATTAAGCTGTATTAACATTAGATTCGAAATTTATTTAAAATATTTTGACCATGCAACTCCATACAACAACAAAAAAATTAAAAAGAGATAAAATCTTTATTCTTCTAATTAAAAATAAATAAATGCCAAATAAGCACGACTCTTGCAAAAAAAAAAAAATCTAAATAAATTTGCCTCAACTACTGTTGTGTAAATAAAAAGTATAAAAAAATAAAATAGAAACATACACTGATACATACAACTTGCCTTAATAAAAATCTCCTTTTATATATCCTGTTCAACTGGTTTAATTTCATTTTTAGAATTGCATTCTGTAATTTAAAGTTAATAACGTTAATTATGCAAGATAAGTCTGTTATAAGGAACTTCTCTGTATACATACTATACTTAAAAACAATTTATTTCATCAATAATTAGCAATAATATTTACAATTTGACCTAAAATGTAACTTACACTTTCAATATTGCTAAACGGTTGGAAATATAAGGTTGTAGAAGTGAGAGCTAATTTTCCTTGATGTCTGACTAGTGGCGAAATTTTTTCAGCTTGAAATTCCTCAATAATTTTCTCTGTGAAATCATCCATCATAACAGGATCAAACGTCATTCTCATATATCGAGAATGTTGTATAGTTGCCACCATACTGTTATGTTCGGGAGCATGAAGAGTTGAAGCTCTATGTAATTGTTGCATCTGGCTCAAACACTCCTCAGCGGACACAAAATCAAAAATAAAACGGAACTCTTTACATTCATATTTAAATTTATAAGGTGCTAGTATATTCTCTTCTAACATCTCAGCGTATTGCTTAATACTTATATTTAAAGCACTTTTCTCATCACCACCATCTGTCTTTACGTTTATATCAATACATTCTTTAAAATATAATTTAATAAGCGGATAAATCCACTCTCTGGGCTCAAAAATAAGAGACTTTGAACAAAGTTTTAATCTACCCTGTATTGTGTTAGATAAGTTTGATATATCACTCATTGTACAGGAATAATCTTCAAAATATATTTCTCCTGGCTCCAACAATAACATAGAAAATCTAAAAAAAAAGAAATCTTATTATTATCATTAAGTTTTTATTTGACTTAAATGAAAATTTAAAATTAACAAATATACCTGGATTTGTTCATCTTGACTTTATATCTTTGCGTTTTTTATTTACAATTAAACATAAAGAAATCCTTTTTCATTTTGCAATGAAACAAAAATAGTAAGTACTATTACAAGTTGTTTTTTTTCAAACGTTACTTTAGATATTATAGGAAATTTATACATATATAGGAATTGGAATCAAATTTGGAAATAAAAATGTTCTTTCTTTCACGTTACTTAGATTAAAACACTTGTATTAATTAATATATACAAATAAGCTTACAAGTATAAAATAAATGTCATCACAAAATAAAAAAGTCATAATATTTTCTTCTTTGTCAAAACTGTTTACCGGAACCAGACTACACTTTTACTAAGAGATAGAATCTTTTCTTTCCAATTTTCCATACTTTTGGAAAACTTTCGCAAGTATATTATAATACTTATTTATCACTTTAAATTTGTATGTGTTAATAATTTTAGACTTATAAAACTTTTAATTTATTTTAAATTTTTTTCTATTCATTTATTTAATAAAATTAAAATTTCTTCTAGACAATTTTTTGTCCAAAAAAATTTAAGAGTAAAATTAAAGTATAAGATAAGAAATTACGTTTTAAATATCGGCTAGTAAAAAAAAAATGAAAAGAAAGTGCTGTGTTTGAAAAAAAAAATACTCTTGGCAGCACTGACCTTTACTGGCTATATTAGAATTAGGCGCGAAGTTTGATCTTAAATTTTACTATGACCTTCAAGCTGTCTTGCAAGTCACAACTGAAACATTTGAATATAATAAATAAGCTTAATATAACTAAGTTTATATCGATAACTAAAAATGCAAGAAGCTACTAGTGTAATTTCACAAATGCGTTTTCCACAAAAGCTTTGGTATTTGCTTGATTTACATACCGATGCTATTTTATGGGGTGGTACCGGAAGAACTATTCTACTAAATTATAGAGTTCTTCACAATTATCTACAATGTGATCACTCTATTTTTAAAACGACAAATATTTCAAGTTTCATAAGACAGTTAAACTTATATGGTTTCCGAAAAGTGACGTCTCATCTTCAGGATCCCCTCTGCAATTCCAGTAACCCTTACATGCACGAATACACACACGATTATTTTCAATACGGCAGACCAGAGTTATTAAATAAAATAACAAGAAAAGCTTTGACAATGAAAAGGAGTTTCAAAACTAAGGTAAACAATCTCTATGTTGAATGTTTTTTAAAAATCATATTACTTAGTCAAATATTTTTTCAGCCTTTCGAGACTAATGAGCAATTGTTATATATATCACCATTACAAAAAGCACGTCGTGCTTTACGTATTGCATTGAAGAAAGCTGCCCAGGATTTACTTGTGCTAGATTCATCAAAAACAGACAGCAACCCTGATTATGAAGGTACCATATATACATTTAAATATAATTTCCATTTCATGTACACCAAAATTAATATACACATTTATTAAACATTCATTAACTTTACATACTAATGTATTAGTTCAAGATGCACCTGATGATTATTGTGAAGAGGAAGACAATATAGAACTGGATTGGCTCATACCAAAATCTCAGGAAGATCAGAAGCAGATAACTGTACCAGGTCCTATTCCTTGTTCCTTAAATCTTTTCCTATTTCTCCTCTCCTATCCTACCCTTATGACTTTTCTAACACAGATCCTGTTCAACCGTCCCAAGAGGAGAATACCAATGATATACAATATAGGTATGGTTGGGAATATAAATTTATCTTTATAAAGCAAGTTATTAATGAGTGGAATTTATTGTAGTGACCTGAAGGATTCATCACAAGATAGTCTCATAGACTTTTCGGACACTTGTAATCAGAATCACGATTCATTCCCGGGACAATTTCTCAGTATGCCGGACCTTGATTCTGATACAAATGCTGCAAATTGTGGTGTTCAGTTGCTAGCTGAATTCAATATAGGGCAAGATTCTGAGCAGGACATTGCAAGAATGAGTGAGAAGATCAAAAATCACTCTTTGAATTGCGTTTTACCGTCAGTCAGCAATGATTCTAATGATGACAATCCTATGAATGATGTAAATATTATTTAAGACATAATTTGTCATTTATATTATTCTAAAATTACTTCTTTAGTGCAACATTTATGTATAACTTTATTTTATGTTTTAGAAGCACAATGAAAACACAAATCTCTATCATGGCGAATGGGACCAAATGTTTAATGACATTATGACTAACAAGGCTTCCAGTCAAGAAGGGGTGTCCAATTTGAGAGAATTGTATTCTCAAATATCTCAAACAATTGACTTGTTAAATTCTTAATTTCTGATCTAGTTAGTTATAATTAAAACAAAGTATTGTTTTTCAATGTAATAAAATTCTTGTTACAAAAAATCACTTCTTTTGTTTTTTCTTCTCCGCCTCCTCTTCTTTCTCCTTTTCGATGACGGACACATAAGAGTTAATAGTATCTATATCTAACATTTGCATTGGTTGGTTGCGTCTCATAACAGCAATTTCCAGATTTTTCTGTCCCGACTGAACTACTTCAAGAAGAGCTCTGATTGCAAGCTGTAATTGAAAAATCATTATTTGTAATTACCATAATTTTTACGTATGTAACTAGATTTATATAGGATAGTATTAATTACCTTTACAGCACCATTTTCAGAAGCAACTTCATCTGCGGTGTAGTTCTTTTCTAAAAATTCGCGAACAGTTTTAGCAGATCTGCCAGTAGCATTAGCCTTCCACTCGTAATAAATGCCTGATGGTTCCGTTTGGAATAAATGAGGTTGACCGTCATAATCAAAGCCACCAATTAAACAGGAGATACCAAATGGCCGGCGTCCATTGCTTTGAGTGTACTTCTGCTTCAGACTGGCGATATATCTTGTTATATACTCTAAAGTAACTGGATCTTCAACAGTTAGTTTATGAGACTGGCATTCGATTTGAGCGCGGTTAATAAGTATACGGGCATCGGCAGTCAAACCGGCGAATGCCATAACGACGTGATCATCAAGGAGGCAAATCTTTCGAACTGTTCTTTCTTCTTGAAGCTTTGCAACGGATTTCTTTTCAACACCTAAGACTACAACATCCTTGCCTCTTACGCCGACCTGTTGATAAGAAGTTGTTTATAGAGAAAAGTAGAGTACATTAACAAGGATTCTAAAGGGTGAAGAACTTACAGCGGTAGAACCTTTGCGTACGGCTTCTTGAGCATATTCAACTTGCAACAAATGACCGTCCGGTGAAAAAACGGTAATTGCTCTATCGTATCTTGCCGACATTTTTCGAGTTGAAGTATGTTACAATAAGAAATATATTTAAATTTGCTTTGTAATCGCTTTATGACTTCGGTATATTGAAACAGAGACTAACAAATCTACCGCAAAATAGACAACAGCATGACGAGACACTTTGACATATGACGGCTGTGCGGTACAGACCTAAATATAAACTATTTAAAAGGAACTCTAAATAAAAACTATTTGCTGTGGTAAAGATCATTGAACTTTGAAAATTTATATTTTTCAAGTAATTATTACAATATCTACAAGTCAATCATGCTTTTACACAAATTTTGTTTTCATTCGGTGAAGTACCACCCTCTCACGGAAAATCGGCGTGAGCCGGGAAGTAGCCTTTAATAGCTCCGTTTTGTCAAATAAATGTGAGAGCCGGTTGCCCTTTCCCGATTCCCACCCTTTCCTACAACTTCCTTATCCCTTCACCCCTTCCTATCCCTAAAAATTATACAAGGCTGTCAACGCATCCGCAAAAAAGATGATGCGGATGTCCATAGGCGACGGTAACTACTTTCCATCAAGTAGGCCGTCTGCTCGTTTGCCATCATTCACATAAAAAAAAAATAAAAAAAATATCGTTTTTCTCAATGCTGGCGCGAACATACAGGCAGTTATATTATATTTAAAATGTTACTTCTATCTGTGGTAGCCTAAATTCTTTTTAATGTCAGAACTTAATGTCAATTGTCAAAATGGCGGCAGCCGTTAGCGCATTTCAGCCATGGTTAATTGACAAATTAAAATCTTTAAAAACCGATGAAAATGTTTTCGGCTCATATATATCCGGTATTTTGGAAAGTGAAGATACTATAGATGAGAAAAAAGATGCCCTGGAAGAGCTATTGTCGGAAATTGTGGTGAGTTTCAATTTTTACACTTTATTGGTTAGAATTAAATTATAATATATTTTAAAAAAGACCGTTCTTATAGGACAAAGATATATCTGCACACGTTAATGAAATTATTGATAAATGGGAAGTATGTAAACCCAAGGAAGAGTCCCCGAAGTCTGCCCCTGATGTTGACATCCAGCTAGCAAAATTATTGGAATCTCAGTCTTTGGCTACAACGACCCGACGTGAATATACCGATGAAGAGAAAAAAATACGTGAAGCTATACTTTCTCAGTACAGCCAGTTGCCTGATAATGAGGTACATTAACATTGTGTATATTACATATTCTTAGTAAGTATTCCATATGCTAACAGTACATTTATCGTTCAGGAGGATGAAGAGAACGATTCGGATACGGAAGGTCAGGATTTGGTAAAGAATACCAATGCCTTGGATGTAGCAGCTGCGGCACGTGAACGAAGGGAACAAGCTCGTTTAGAAGCCCAACGGAAGAAAGATAAAGATAAGGAAGATAGGTAAAAAAATTATTAACTAAAATTAGTGTACACTATCTTCAAATTACATAGTAGAACTTGGCTATGTGGACTCATGTATTCAATTCACGTAGTAAAAAACCTTTGTTAACAAAATTGCTGTGACATCTATTTTCTCAGTGATATAACTTCAAACACAACTTTTATAGTGTTCTTATATCAATTATGTATAGTATTCTTATATTTGGGTCGGTTATAAAGAGCACTATTGCATACAAAATTTTGCTAGCTAGCTTTTATGTCAAAAGTAATATACTCTCAAACTTTAAACTTTATATTATTGGTACTGTTTAAAACTATTTGCCACCAACCAACAAAACTATATTTATTAATAAAAATATATTTTCCTTACAGAGAAAAGCAAAAAACACTAAAAGAAGAGAAAAAGGAAAAGCGTAAAACACAAAAAGGCGAAAGGAAGAGGTAGCAACTTCAAGATTAAAAAAAAAACCATTTAGGCTGAATAACATAAATTCATGAATGATATACATTTTTAAAAGGAGCATATTTGTGACATAGTGGCTGCATTTTTTGATATTATTTTTAAGCTATGTATTATATAGTCATAAATTATCAGTTTTAAACATGGTAATAGTATTTTTGTTCCCTTTATATTTATCAATTTGTTTTGATTACTAAATACATTTTAGTGATAAGCACTTTTTTTTTGTTGGAATAATGATTAATAAGGTATATGATAATTCTATTTGGTTTTGTTTTATTTAATACTCATACACTCCCACATAAGTTGTTGTTGTTGTATCATGTTGAGCATTTCAAAGATTCAAATTAAACCAAAATCTGTAGAATTTGAAAATTACAACATTAGGTATGCATCTGACACATCCTTTAAAAATAGTGTTTTTGTTGATTTTTTACTTTGAATGGATATAATGATATATCCATAATAGGATATTTTACAAAAAAAAAGCAAAATAACATTTTTCTGGCATACCTCAACTTATGTGGGAGGTATCAATTTATGCTAAATGATAAAGGATTATGAAAATGGAACATTTCTAGTAACAAATATATATTTTTAACATGTTATCACATTAATATGAGACTAGAAAATAATGCAACATTTTAATGTAAAAAATATTAGGTTTGAATACAATAATTGTATTAATCAATATCTTCAGGAGTGTATGTATTGTCTGCTTGATTGTCATCCATTACAACGAAATTGTGAGCACTACCCGCATATATTTGGGATATTTTGATTTTGCTATCAATGGGTACCCTAACAGGTTGGAAGATGCAGTCTCCTAGAGATGTTCCCGTGTTGCCATGCTCATTCCAACCCCATGCCCATAATGTGTTGTCAGTAGCTAAACATACAGTGTGCTCGGAGCCTAAAACTATATCTTTGACATGTCTTCGACCTGAAAAAAATTGTTTTTTAATTATCACACAAAAAGCTATTTCAAATTAATACCTTAAAAATTTTGCTATAAATCTGAAATAAATGAATTAAGACAGTAAATTTTAAGTTGATTTCAAATGTGTTATTTAACAAATATTTTACAATTTGTAAAATACTTTGCCAGTTAATTAACAAGACTAATTGTTAAAATATGCATCTTGTGGAAATTACAGAACTGATGAAAGTGCCCTTAAAACAACTCCTTTTTCATCTTTATCTAAAATACATGACAGTTTAAGATAGTAGTGAGCCCCACTAAGAGATTGATAAATATTCTTCCAACATACACAATATTTATTGATAAGTAATAGCAGGTGATTAGTGTTCCTATTGTGAGACAATCGTACTTTAAGATGTATCAATATTTATGTAACTATTAACTGTCTTAACAAACCTGGTAAGTTTATTTGTATAATTTTTCCAGTGAAAGGGCTATCAGTTCCCAACTGCCCATAATTATTTCTCCCCCAAGTGAGAAGAGATCCATCTTGCAACCAGAGCAACACATTTGTCCAGCCACTCAATAGCTTTTTTACATCTTTTTTCACATCAATATCAATTTTTTCAGGTTTATAGATTCTTTTATATTTTTCAGAAGATAGAAGTAATTGTCCATGTTTGTTATCACCCCACACATATAGAGCTTTTTCCTCAGAACTCCAGCCTACGGTATGGTTTTGTCCACATGCTATATGAGAAATAACACTTAATTTAGGAACTCTTTGAAATCTATCTGACTTTAATACATTGTGACCTAATCCTAGCTGGCCATGCCTTCCACATCCGGTTGTCCATACTTCGCCTTTCGAATTTATTATTGCTGTATGTCTTAATCCCATTGACACTGCGCATGCATTGACTTGTAGCCTAATTGGTTTCACTTCATCTGGAAATTCATTTTTCGGTAGACCTAACTGGCCATAACTATTAGATCCCCAAACAAATAAAAATTTATCATCAGTAACACCGCAGCTGAAATCCCAGCCACATGCTATGTTCAAAAAATGTATACCACTTAAACCCCAAACTCTCTTGAATGTATAAACTTCCTGTTCATAACCTAATTGTCTCCTCGAATTCCAGCCGCATGAAAAAAGTTTTCCATTTTCAGCTAGTAACAACGTGTGTCCACCACCGCAGGCAATCTGTTGAATGTCACTTAAATGTTCTGTTGATACTTCAGTGGGTTTGTCTATTTGTTCACTTGTTGAATCAAGGCCTAGCTGTCCATGTGAATTAGCGCCCTGAAATAACAAAAAAGATTGTTTTACTGAGAAATCTTACTATAATAAGAACTGACAAAGTATGTTGTAGTTTAGTTACCCATGACCACATTTCAACAACATAATAATGTAAACAATGTGGAAGCTTGAATTTATACTACTATTTGTGATTTGAAGTACTACCGGCGCTACTGACTACTCTCCCATGAAAAACTTAAGATATCTACTATTTTGTAAATCATATAAAACAAGTTATTCTATAATTTTCCTTATAGAATATAGACTATTGAAAATAAGTTCATTTCAATTTTGAAATTTAGTCTTGACGTTGTCACTTTGACATGGTTTATGAGTTCGGAAACATTTATCTTCGATTTATACATAATGTTTCATATTTCTAATTTTTTAAAATAAGTAACTTGAACACAATGAACTTTCTAGGATGCCAAAAAAAAATGTAAAAAATTTATTATATTATTGCCAGATTGTGCTATTTTTATTATATAGATCGTGAATAATATGTACGACATGAGTGAATTAAAAATGACTGCTTGTTTTTCTACTTTCGGTACATTTTTTTAAAGAATTTTTGAGCAGAACATGTTTATTTTTATTTTAAATTTGATCTCCATAGTTTTTTTAAAATTTAAAATGCAATATTAAATAAAAGATTGATATTATCTACGAGGCAGTTATTAATGTAAGAGTTTGACAACAATTTAGTACAATATAGTATTTTTTATTTTGACACTATAATACAGAACCATGACAATGCAGATGATTAATATGAACCATACTATTATAATAATGGAATCCATACAAACAATTAAAATTAAGAAATAGTTAAGTTGGAAAAAATGCTTCTATACGTTTTTTATACACAATTTTATTAGTAACTAAAATATTTTTTTGTATTACTTTTTTGGAGGATCTTCAACCACCCTAATAATTAAGAATACATATGATAGTTGAAGTGTTCAGAGTTTAAAAAAATTGAAGAACTTAGTTATTTTGTATTTTTTTTTTAAATGATTTTGTTTTTGGAGAAATTTGCTTTTAGATAATATCGAACAATAATTAAAAATAGTGTTTTTTTTACGATGTTGAGGGAGACAAAATATAAAAAGTAAGTTTTGAATCTCTTGAATTAGCAAACTTATTCTGTATCTCTCTTGAATTTTATAGTCATTTATTTCCTTTACTAAATAAATGAGTGACCTCATAAATATTTGGAATTCTTATCAAACTCAAACTCAAACTCAAACAACTTTATTCAATATAGAAGTATTACACTTTCTTATTGATGGTCATATTGAGACTACCACCGGTTCGGAAAAGAAAATACCCTGACCTGAGAAGAACCGGCGAAAGAAACTCAGCGGGTTTTTTTTTTTATATATATATATATATATTTCTCTCATATATTATATACACAATTTAATATGAGATGAAATAGCCAGGAGGCGAGCGTTTCATTCCCAAGGTGTGCTATCGTTCATAAACTCCTTAATTGTATAGTAACCTTTTGCACACAAGCGTTCCTTAATAATTTTTTTAAATTTAGCAATAGAGGCATTTTGAACGCTTTCTGGGATCCTGTTGTAAAACCGTATACATTGCCCCACAAAGGAGTTACTGACTCTATGTAGTCGAGTAACAGGAGTAACAAGTTTATGTTTGTTCCTTGTACCAATGCTATGAGTATCACATTTTCTCATGAAATCATTAATATTTTTTCGTACATACATAACATTGCAGAATATATATTGAGAAGCAACAGTCAATATCTTGATTTCTTTAAATTTATTCCTTAACGATTCTTTAGCTCCTAGGTTATAGATTGCGCGAATAGCCCTCTTCTGTAGCACAAATATAGTATGGATAGCGGCTGCGTTGCCCCACAGCATAATACCGTATGACATTATACTGTGAAAGTAACTGAAATATACTAAGCGAGCCGTATCAACATCGGTACATAATCTAATTTTTTTGACCGCGAATGCCGCAGAACTCAGTCTACTCGCCAATCCGCTAATATGGGGGCCCCATTGCAACTTAGCATCAACAGTAAGGCCAAGAAACTCAGCAGAATCAATTGGATCCATCGATTCCCCGTTAATGAGTACATCGGCTTTTACATTATGTACATTAGGTGTACTAAATTTTACAATTTTTGTTTTATTATTATTTAGCCTAAGATTGTTTACACTAAACCAATGTACTATATCAGCTATAGCATTGTTTACGTCGTCGTACTGTACCTGTTTTCTATTAATTTTAAAAACTAATGAGGTATCATCAGCAAACAATACTATATCATGTTTGTTCCCAACAAGAAAGGGCAAGTCATTTATATATGTGAGAAACAGAAAAGGTCCAAGAATTGATCCCTGAGGGACCCCCATACCAACTGAGACCCCAGGAGACCTTTTTCCTTTAACGTCAACCCTCTGAATTCTATTGTTGAGATAAGAAGTCAGAAGGTCGAGCGCACATTCTCTAATTCCATAGTGATATAGTTTCCTGACCAGAGTCTCATGTTGAACACAATCAAAGGCTTTGGATAAGTCACAGAAAACCCCTAAGGCATCCCGTGACTCCTCCCAAGCATCATAGATATTCTTAATAAGCTCGATACCAGCGTCTGTTGTCGAGCGACCCCTCGTGAATCCAAATTGTTTACTATGAAGCAGATTATGTTTGTTAAAATGTTCTAATAATTGATTTAGAATTATTTTTTCAAATATTTTGCTCAGAGTAGGTAGAATTGAAATTGGCCTATAGTTATTGGGGTCTGAGGAACTACCCGATTTAAATATTGGAATAACTTTACTATGTTTCATCAGGTCAGGAAATATACCACGTTGGACACAACTATTAAATATTACAGCAAGAAAAGGTGCAATCACATCAATAATCGAACTTATAACCTTTAGAGAAATACCCCATAAATCAGCTGTTTTCTTGATGTCTAGTGACTTGAAGGCTCGTATTATGTCATTGGGGTTTACAAGGGTAAAATTAAAGTTAGATTTACAAGCTCTTACATTTTCTTTCATCAGTGACTCGGCAACATCTGGAGAAGAAATAAGTAACTTAGTTGTCAAAACTGGTACGTCAGCAAAGAATTTATTAAAAACTGTAGCAACTTCCTTTTGACTATTTACTACTTTACCATTATAATTCAGGCTCAAATCGGAGTTGCAACTGCCAACTCTACCAGTTTCACAACCAATAATTTTCCAAGTCATTTTTATCTTGTTTTGTGCATTCTTAATTTTATTTTTTATGGTTAGAGATTTTGCCAAAAAGCACACTTTTTTAAATAATTTAGAATAGTTACTTACATAATTGGCAAAAGTGGCACTATGATTGTACGTTCTTTCATTGTAAAGCTCATACATTCGCTGCCTGCTTTTATGAATTCCAATAGTCGCCCAATCACTGAATTTTAAAAAGTTATTTGTATTGACTGTTTTAGAAGTGAATATTGATTTAAAACTGTTTCTAATTAATTTAAATAGATTGTTAAATAATACATTGGGATTATCACTAAGATATATGTGAGGGAGATTAGCCATAATATTACTTCTAAACTTCTCAATACGACTTGCGGTCAAAGGAACAAACATTATCTTTTCAGAAGTACTTATTTTTTTAACATGAAAATTAAATATGGCTTGTTGTCCACAATGATCTGAACTTAGGTTATTAATAATAATTTTGTTTTGTGGAATACAGGAAGCAAATATGTTATCAATGCAAGTTGCTGTGGAATCTGTTATTCGAGTTGGTTCTAAGAACAGATTTACCAGATTATATGAACTTAACAAAGATCTGAATCTAATACTTGTGGTTGAATTATGCAATAAATTTATATTAAAGTCACCACAGACAATAATTTCTTTATTAGATCCAGATAATTTAGATAGAACATTGTCCAATATATTTTCAAACAATTCATATAATCCACTAGGGGGCCTGTATACGCATACAACAATGACACGCTCAAGCTCTGCACAGGCTATTTCAATAGTTTGCTCAATAGAAAGGCTCACAATATCTTTACGTTCTTTAAATTTTATATTTTTACACAGGAGTATTAAAGAGCCACCTCGTATGGCTTTATTTCTACTGAACAGACTAGCAATCTGGTGCCCACTAAAGTTAAACATAGCCTGATAATTTAGAAGCCAATGTTCAGTTAAACACAAAATATCAATGTCATTACAGGTCAAAATAATTCAATTTCTAAGTCTTTCCCTAACATTCCTTGAATATTTTGGTGCACCAGATTTACATTTTGTTTGTTATTTATTTTCTTATTATTTAAATTGGCTTCTATAGTAACTATTTTTTCATAATTACAGTTGCCAGAGACTACCTCTATTGTCTTAGAACTTAATTTAAATTACTTGGAACGTGTTCCAAAATATATAAATTATTATTATTATACTGCTCAATAGAAGCAGTTGTCTGGTCAACCAAACCATTGGTTGATTTTTTTAAAATAAAATATGATAGCAAACTACCTATCTGTCTCTTATAAAAATTAGATAGGTGACACCTATCACATGTCCATAAACAAGAATTATTATTAATTATGTTATTAATGTCAATTAGTTTAATTTTATTACATATATCATTTTTTGTTACATAATAAGTATTTGACATGATATGTAACATATTATTTAATTTAAATCTAATAGAATTTTCCTGTGGCACATCTTTAATATAAGGAAATGTGAACATTAATATTCTATCGACATTTAAATTTGATAATTTAGAATAATAATTTTCAAGAATTTTTTTGTTCACATTTCCCCTTCTCCCAACTAATATAATTAGTGTAGTATTGGGACAATGAGTATCATTCAAAACACTGTTCATAATATGGGAATAACTTGCCCCCGGCATACAATAATTTGATACTGATTGTCCCTTACACAAGTCATTGAGCAAAACACCCAAGTTTCTTCCCAATTCATCACTATACAATTTAGTACATTTATTGGTGGGAACATGAAGTGTTTCGTTGGGTATGGCGCTGCCATGAGCTGTCGGCCGAGACAAGGACACTACATCATTGAGCAGCCCTGAACTATCCCCTGA